TGTTTATTTTCGATTTGTTTAATATTTTATTTTATTTTATTTTCCTTTGACCAGAAGTGGAAAGTGTATATTGAATCAATTTCTAAGTCTGCAGCTAAGAAAGTTGGTTCACTGTGTCAAGCTAGACAATTTTTCTCGCCAGAATCTATCTTACATATTTACAAGTCTACGGTTCGCCCTTGCTTTGAATATTGCTGGTCTGGTGCTTCTGCTATATATTTAGAGATTCTTGATAAAATCCAAAGAAGAATCTATCTTACATATTTATAAGTCTACCGTTCATCCTTGCTTTGAATATTGCTGCCACATCTGGTCTGGTGCTTCTGCTATATATTTAGAGATTCTTGATAATATCCAAAGAAGAATATATCTTACATATTTATAAGTCTACCATTCATCCTTGCTTTGAATATTGTTGCTACTTTTGGCCTGTTGCTCTTGGTATATATTTAGATAGTCTTGATAAAATCCAAGGTAGAATCTATCTTACATATTTAAGTAACGTTCATCGTTGCTTTGAATATTGCTGCCACATCTGGTCTGGTGCTTCTGCTATATATTTAGAGATTCTTGATAAAATCCAAAGAAGAATCGGCAATGTTATAGGCTCTGACCTTGAATCTCAACTTCAGCCAAGTTCCACTGTCGTAACGTAGCTTCACTCTGCTTTTTCTATAAATAATTTCATGATAATTGTGCTGATGAACTTTCCTCAATGGTACCTAGACTTTATAAATTTAAGCGCAGTACTTGAAAGGCAATAAGGTCTCTTCATTTTACAAATGAAATAACTATATTTAACCGTAAGTTTTATGCTAACAGTTTCTTCTATTGCACTTGTCTTTTTTGGGAACCCTTTTCCAGCTTGTTGCTTCCCAGTCAAGTTTGATCTTCAAAATTTTAAATGCAATGTCAATCTTTATCTTCTATCTTCCTAATTTTTGTCTGTTATTTCCTCTCTCGTTAATAGTATATTTTTCTCGTATTCCCTGATACATTATAACCTATTGCGTCTTAGTGGCTTCGTTGCCTTGCTTGGAGTGAAAAGATTAAAAAAAGAAACAAACAATTCTGGTCACGAGTCAATCAACTCTTCCCCCCAGATATTCCACCACTCCCCATCTTACATTAAAAAGCAAATTTTGTTTGCGTATTTGTCAGAATAATAAGACATATCATTTCTCTGAAAAAATATATTTCAAGAGATTGCAAGAATTATTAATATGATAAAAAATATATATTTCAAAAGAATTCAAGAATTATTAATATGCTCAAAATCCAATGGCGGCTCACTAGTTGGGTTCCAGAACTATGCTAAATTATCCGATGTGACGTACCAACAGCGGTTACTGCATAATAGTGATATACTAAACGTAGTTTGGATGCGACACAAGGCGAAAGTATGGACTATCTACCGAGAATCGATCTTATTACTAAGTTGTAATTAATTCAGTGCATAGCTTCGCCTATCGTCCGGTTCACACTCCTTCCTTGTCTTTTGAAAAGAAGCAGAAGTTTAGCCTTTGTTTCCTGTTTAGGATTGGGTTTCCAGTTCCTTGTAAAGTCTACTTCAGCTCTATACTTCTAACGTAAATTCTGAAATTTTATCTACTATTTTTTCTTTAATAGAAGTAAGTAGGTTCACCTACCGTCCGATTCACATTTTTAATCGAACAATCTTTATTCAAACATTATTTCTAGTAGATACCCGTGCTTGAAATAGACGCCACGTTTTCTTTTTTAATTATTTTAAACTGTGTGTATTAAAGCTATCGGCCTGCGCACACGATAAAACTAATAAAGCCCGGTTCACACTCCTCCCATTATTTTGAACAGGAGTAGAGGTTTATCCCTTGATTTCTGTTTAGGATTGGGCTTCCGTTTCCTTCAAAAGTATTTTTCTTCATTATCTTTCACTCCCATTAGCCCCTTGCATCTTAGTGACATTGGTTTAGTTTGGTTTCCGGCATATCAACTACGATGGGTTATTTAATGCCGACAAGATTTTTATTACTGGTAATATTTTTTTCAAAAAATGTATAACTGGTATTTTTTTTTTTTTCAAAAATGTATAGTTTGGTTTGTTTTGTGGCATTTTTACCTCAATGGGTTATTTAATGCCGACAAAATTTTTAGTTTCGTAATTTTTTTTTCAAAATTTATTGCTGGTAGTAATTTTTTTTACAAAATATTTCTGGTATTAAAATCTATTTTACACTTTCATAGTGTTTTTGATTCAGGTTGGGGGAAGAACTATTTTTGCCCATAGCTGGGACCCTTAACAGGTGCTACCACTCCGGGTCAGGGTGGACCTGAGAACACCAGCAATTAAGAGGGGGGTTCCATGCTCCTCAAAACCTCCCGATCAGAGGCCATGCTGTTGGACGTAGTTACCCAGCACGCGGATGTAGTTTATCGTCTTACCCAGGACGGTTAATGGCATTATCGCCTTGCTTGGGGTGAATTGATTAAAAAAAAAAGACAAACCTGCTAACCATTACATCACATGATTCACAGATACGTCGCAATAATTAATTTATTCCCCATTGACAATCCCTTTCTTCCTTATTTTCAACGTATAATATATAAAGTAAATGTTTAACTTCCTTAAAGAAATTCAGTTTTTTGTAACTCAAAAAAATTGCTTTTAATCTTCAAGTTTTCGTTAAGTAACTAGGATAAATTTCTTAATTTTCAAATTATTTTCCCCAAAAGGCAGATGTGTTTTTAAAACATTTGATAAACACGCTATAAAACTAAAAGGACCGTCTAGACACATGGCACTGGTAAATTATTAGACAGGTGGAGAAGTCTGAGTTCAATACCTGGTTAAGGCGGTGGAGAACTTGGAGAGGGGAATTAACAGGAGATAACTGACATCTATTAAAAAAACATGGCACGTGGAACTAGAACAGTCTACCCCAGTGAGCGAAATAAAGGGTTCAGTTCGACATTCCAACCACCTGAAGAAGGCCGGAGCGTACAACGGCTGAAACGTTGTGATAAATATGACAGCAAAGATGAGGACAATAGTCCGAATAATGTAAATAGTGTACATAATACCTCATCTCAGAAATATAGACAGATACTGAAGGGCCGAAACGTTGTAATAAATATGGTGACAAAGATGAGGACAATAGTCCGAATAATGTAAATAGTGTACATAATACCTCATCTCAGAAATATAGACAGATACTGAAGGGGGAAAAACGTTGTAAAAATATGGCGACAAAGGTGAGGACAATAATCCGAATAATGTAAATAGTGTACATAATACCTCATCTCAGAAATATAGACAGATACCGTCTAGACAGGTTATAAAGAAAACGAGAAGAAAGCACGATCAACTACAAGAAGACAGAAAGTATCGTCATTAGAATGTAAAAAGGCCCAAGATACGAGCTAATTTTCTTTCAGAGTCTACCAACAACACCGTGTCATTTGAGTATTTCATGTTGTTAAATTATATTGTCCTTAAATAATATATCGTACTAGGTCTTATAGTACTCTTACAGATGTGAAAGTTTCTCATAATATTGCCCGGATCAAAAGTGATGTCGACTATCAAAATTTAGAGGTCTCTATGTAGTTATATATTCAAGTAAGCCTCTCTTTTTGGCTAATTTAAGTTTTTCCGCAAAATATTAATTTTCCTTCAATCAAAATATGATGCAAAAACTTCGTGAACTTCCGATATTTGGGAAAATTCTTTACAAATTTTTCATTTTTTACATGTGATATCGTCATAATTGTCTTACACCTAATGATAAAAAAATGTATTCTACACAACAAAAATGTATTTTTCCAACATAATCTTCATCCGTGTCCATGCACTCAATTCACTTGTGAATATACACCACATAGAATGAAAATCAATAAAATAAAAGGTATTTTTTACTTTAAAAATGCATTTACTCACAAACATATTTTTCATTTCGATAAAGTTTTTTATTCTGACATATTTTAAGGGTTGATAAATTGATAAATTTCATTCCAACTTATTCTTTGTTTCTTCATTCTTTCATTCCGGCATTTTTTAATTCTTTCATTTCAACTCATTCTCTTATTATTTTTTTTATTAATCCTTGTTTATTCCCTTATTCTTCCATTCCAATTATTTTTTCATTACGCCTCATTTTTTTTTTTCTTTTTACCTATTTTTTTTTTTCTCATTTTTTTAATTAACCAATTTATTCTTTATCATTCAAATTCCTTATTTTTCATTCTGATTCATTATTTTTATTATTTTTTTTTTCGTTTTTATCAAAATTTATCTTTCATTCCGACGTTTTTCATTTTTCATTCATATTTATTCTTTCATGCTTTCACGGACATTTTTTCGGTTTGCATTCCTATTTATTCTCTCTTTTTTCACTACGGCTTATTTTTTTTTTTTTTCATTCCTAATTAAACTCTTGCCCTATCATTCCGAATTATTTTTCCATTCTTTCATTTCGACTTATTATTTATTCTTTCATTCTTAACTATTCACTCATTTTTTTTTCAATTTATTCTTTCATTTCAACTCAACCCCTTTTCCATTCTCATTCATTTTTTCCATTTTTTATCATTCCTATTTATTCTTTTATTCTTTCATTCCAACTTATTTCGCCTTTCTTTCATTCCTGTTTATTCTCTTATTCTTTCATTCCGACATTTTTTCATTCTTTCATTGCTATTTATTTTTCCATTCTTACATTCTGACTGTTTCATTAGTCATTCCTATTTATTCTCTTATTCTTTCATTCCAACTTATTTCGCCTTTCTTTCATTCCTGTTTATTCTCTTATTCTTTCATTCCAACATTTTTCATTCTTTCGTTCCTATTTATTTTTCCATTCTTAATTCAAAACATGAGAATTCATTCCTATTTATTCTCTTAAAAAATTCCAACTTATTTTGTCTTTCTTTCATTCCTATTTATTCTCTTATTCTTTCATTCCGCTTTATTCTATCAAATACTCATTATTGATGTTTCATTCCTTGCATACATTTTGCAGAACCAGGGCAGAAAGTATGAAAATATTCCAAAAAATGAATGTTCCAGGACCCACTCCAAATTTTCTCTTCGGAAATCTCCTCGGTTTTGCTAAAAGGTAAAAATAATATAACACTTATTTTTTTCGTAAAAATTTTTTAGAAAATAAAATACATCAAAAATGACAGAAAAAATATATTCAATGACTGGCACTTTGTCTTTAAACATATTTATCTATTCTTATATCTAAAAATCAAATATATTCACCATCCGGAATACATTTATAATGTTTTCAAAATCTCTGCCTCTGTGTAGGATAGAATTTTATTTAAAAAAATATGCTCAATTATTTGAGTTTCGTCTCTGAAATGGTTTACTGGATTTTTAATGATTTTAAGGCTCGGTTACCCACATAAACTCGGTTATTTGCCAAAATCCGATTTTGTGGGGCCATTTAGTGAATATCATCAAAATTATCTTATTCTAGGATCAAAGTTAATATATCTTTAAATTGTTAGAATCTAAATTTAAATTTAAACCCTATAATGTTTCAGGAAACAAACTTTATATCAAACAAAAAAACTTTAATGTTTTTTAATTAAAATTTCCTCAACATTATAATAAGCTCACATAAATTCCTTACTGCTACAATTTTAGGATATTCAGTGCTGTTCGATAAAAGTGACTCACCTGATCCTTTGAATTTAGCTCAACTTTCGTTTAATCGGAGAAAAACATTCTTCCAGTTTTCAATATAAAAATGTTTGTAATAGTGAGGCCATTCAAGTCTCTTGGCTTTGTTGGCTTTGCTTATTAACGGCTTAAACATTCGTGTACAAAAATTTGTATGGCTTGTTCTAACAAAATTTAACTGTTGAAAGGCAAGAAAAATGACCATTTTTTCGCTTAGACTGGCTGCAATTTCTTGGCTATTTATAGTCCTATTCTTCGCAACTTCTCTTTGATTACCCTGCCAATTCTATCATCAAAGACCTTTTTTTTCGTCCCCTTGTTTCCTTCCTTGGATAAGAGAGTGGCATCAAAAGTGAATAAGATTTTCTAGAGACAGTTGATTGCGAGGTTATAGCAATTTTGACAAATTTCTCTCGTAGACTTGCCTGCTTTTGAGATGGCAATAATAGATTAGCTTAAAGTGGTTCTGATGCGTGTTTGTAACCTTTCATCTGGTTAGTGACTTGAATGGCTATTTCAAAGCTGTTTTTATACTGTATGAGGCTTTTCTGGAATATTCTAGATTTTTATTTTAAGCTGTTCTAAATTCTCTAGAATATTGTTCTGAGTGTATTGTCAAATAGTTTTCAATATTTTGTCAAAAGCTCTTTAAATTTTACAGATTAATCATTAGAATGCGATATCTGAGTCACTTTTTTTGCACAGAATTTTTTCCTCTCATTTATATCCAAATTTATAATTATCAATAGAATTAGGGTGAATAAAACAATTCCTAGGTGGTCGGGAAATTCATTTATATTAGTAAGATTAAAAAATTATTTTAACCCCAAAAAAAATAAACAAAAAATAATTTTTAGAAAAAAAAAATCAGGTTTGAGTCACTTTTATCGAACATCACTGTATTTGGTAAAAAGAAAATAAAAGAATATTGTACTGTCCTTCTTTTTTTTAGCGAATGTTGGACGATTACTTCAAAGATGAAGAAGAAACTCGAGGCGACAGAGATGTGGTTCTAAATAGAAGGATGCTAAGGATATCATATTTTAAAGCGTGTGAGCAACGATTTGATCTTAGAGAGGCTGCAAACAAGGAGGAGGTTTATAATTAATATCAGGAAGAGGTTTCTGAGGTTTCTGGGACATATAAGGAGGAAATTTCCTGGAGAATCTGATATTCATTTTTGGCGAATAGAGGGAAAGAGAGACAAGGAAAACAACGTGTAATTTATACCTGGAGGGCATAAGCAAGTGGATGACAGAACGTGGTCTGGAGGGAAGAAGATAGGGAAGGAACTTGTTGAGAGCTGCAAATTATATAGAAAGTGGAGAAATGTTCGCCTACGTCCTGAAAGGATTTGGCACATAAAAAGAAAGAAGGGCGTGTCCTAGTTCCTCTCCAGGGGAGGGATTAAAACTCAACGACCCCATCACTACGATTTCTTTATCCACTACCTGACGAGTGGGTACAAATGTACTGTGCAAATACCGTTTTTTCAATTCAATAGTACATATCAGGGGAAGCTTGGGCACTTCGACGTAACGTAATGGTTAACAAGCTTGTTGTTATGGAGTGGTTTCACAGTGGAGGCTTGTATTTGTACTAAGTCGGTCCTAAAATAGGTTCGACGTACAAAACGTTAGGAACTTGATATAATAGTTAATGACGCAGAGAAATCTAGTTGTGGTCGCTGATACTTTGGTATCCGACTAACGGTCGTCCGGCATCGACTGACTGACTGATCCGACGATATTCAGTCACCCCCCCCTACGAGGGCGTCATGTGGCACAAGGCCTTTTTAACGTGGGATCTCCGAGCCCGTGAGCTCGGCCAAAAATATGCCCATTGAACCCGTATAAACGGGTTCAGGGTCGGTTTACCTCCCCGAAAGAGAATCCGCCCTTCGGCGTAGCCTCCTTTGGATTCCTCCCCGCTCGAAGGCAGACAGTTCAACCGATCAGCCAGTCGACTGACTGGCCCGACCCACTGAGCGACTCCTACTACTCCTACTTATTATAGGTGGGAGAGTCCATTAGCTATAGCATAGGTGTGTTCCACTATAACACTTGTCTCACTAGATCAATTAATACTGAGGAGTGAGCTTGATCCTCACTGGGTACTTCTGAAAAACTTACTACAACGCTTATGTACATATATTGAAATATCGGTTCCCGGACGATCACCAAAGTTAAGCAACATCGACCTTGGTGAGTAACCACTTGGGAATACCAGGTTTTGTAAGCTTTTGATATGCGGGTAGTGTAATGGATGATGGCTGGGAACTGTTAATCAGAGGGCAGTGTTCTAATTTCAGTTGGGATCGTCATATTCACTTATACGCAAATACTCTTGGGAAAGGTATGACTCCACCTCTTCTCCCCCCAGCTATAGGTTAATTAGTAAGACTCGTATCACTAAACCATTATTATCTAAAAAGAAATAACATTCTTACAATTTAAAAATATTTTCTGGTTTCAAATAACCTACAAGGGGTTGATAAGTCGTATAAAACGAATAAATATAATTCACCAAATGTCTAACATAGCTCAAGAATAGATACAGCTAATTTCAAAAAAGTTTCCTGCTGTTATGACTGGTACGCCATATTAGTTTTTGAAAATTAAGAAACATTTTAAAGCCTTTTTAGGGTGTTTTTATTTCAAATATAAGTATGATACTAAACTTGACTCTCTATTTGTGTACGTCAGGTTAGATAAACTAATTTGTTATCTTTTTGTGTAATCATATCAAGTAATTCAAGCTGGTGATGATTTTCAAACAAGATATGAAACAATAAATAAACAATTTAAATATATAATCTCTTATTCGAGCTCCAATCCATTTTTGGTCATGCGCAAGGAACTAGCTTAAAATGTCGCTTACAAGGCTGGTTTCAGCTAGCTTCTAGAATTTTGGAAGACTTTTGCGGATTGTGATATCCTAAGTTTGAATTCCAGTCGAATTCATTACATTCACTTATGTGCTAAAACCCTTGGAAAAGGTATTAATCCTCTTCTTCTCCCCTATGGGTAAATAGCAGGACAGACCGGGTTCTAGAGCCTTGAATGGCAACTGGTCTACCGCAGAAAGAAATGGCAACCTACTGCAGGAAAAAAATCTGCCTCGTCAGTCATGTATCGAAAGATACATGATCGCCTAAGCGTGTATCACGCATGATACATAACGGATTGATAACCGTTTTCAAAACCAAACTATAAGCAAGGACAAAAATTCTGATTTTTTTCCGGGCCTTCTGACTGATATCCTAACTTGTAACTTGTTTGCCTTCAGACTAAATTCAACTTTTCTTTCTTTTTCGAATTGTACTTATTTCCATATTTTTTTTATTGACTAATATTTTTCCGATAGTTTCAATAATTTTTGAAAACCCCGCATATCTTGAGGAAGTAATTTGTAACTTCTGCCTAAATTTCGCACTGCCTTTCTAATTGTACTTTGCATATTTGGAAACGCCGCATATCGTGAGAAACTTATTTGCCGTCTGCCTGAAGCTCACATTGTTTATTTTGTCTTCTAATTTGCATATTTTTATACTGGCAAATACTTCTTTCTTTCTTTATAGCAAGCCTTTTATGACACCTACTTAGACTGGTATCACATATATGGAAAAACATATGGGTAGGTATCAATACTTATACTTCTTTTATATTTTATACAATTAACCTCTCTGGTTTAAACAATTTATCACAAAGCTAATCTAGAACAAACGCTTCATAAACTGCAAAGTTGTAAGCAAATCTTTCGAACACTTTATTTGTAGTTTCTCTATTTCAAACCTAGTAATAAATTATTCAAATTTTTTAAAGTACAAGGCTCAAGAGCCACTCACGGTAGACTTTTAACCGTGTAAACATGCCGCTTTAAATTTGATAATGTCACCAAAATTCAAGGAGCTACCCTCAAGTGAAAGGCTTTAGAGCAATGGTTCCCAAACTTTTTTTTTTTTGGCTATATTAAAGATAACCTAAGCATCTCTAAACTCCTGATGCCCTTTTACCCCGTGACATACAATTCTTATTATTCAAAAAGTGAACTCCTATTCATCGTGGAGAAAAACTGTATTTATATTATTAACACAATATTTTTTATAAATATTGTAAAATTTTAAAATTTTAACTTAAAGTTCAGTGCATTAATGATAAAAAATATTTTTATCTTTAAACTTTAGCGATTGAGATAATTTTTTAATATTTTGTGTATTATTTTATAGTATAAATAATCCAAAAGTTTCAAATAATTACTATGAGTAGAAAATCATTTATTGTAAAATTATTCAAACTCGAAAAACGATTGGTGTATAAGGCCATTTTTAAAAAGAGCACTGCAAGTTAAAATAATTTAAATCAACAATCGCTTAAAATTTTATAAAGTATTATTAATAACTCACCAGCATAACAAAATTGACATAACCTTTGCCTTTGCGTACAGAATTAAGTGAATTTGAAAAAAGTCAAATAATCGCATTTAAAAATGAAAATTTAAAAGTAGAAAAATTGCCGTTAGGATTAAGCTTTCAAAAACGGTTAACAACTTTTTATCAAACACGGAAGAATATGGAGAAAAGAAACCGAAAGAAGCAAGAAATTAAGTGAGATTGATGCCAAATGAAGAAATTTTTCATGCAATGCTATCACATCGTTTCCAAAATCCAATTCAACTCTGGAAAATGTTTTACGCTGGAAGGTTTGGTGAGAACTTAACAGATCGTCTCAGTTCAGTTATTTATAAGTTATAAACGCTTAATGATTTTTAAGAACACCATATGTCAGAGAGGTTTCAAATGGACCAAAACTCATATGACTTGGGACATCTTTCCTTAAGAATTTGAATGTGCGTATATGTAATAGTATTATCATTTAATTGTAGAATTTTACAATATTTATAAAGAATATTGTGTTACTAATATAAATACATAATTCTTTAATATAATTTTCTTAAATATATTCTTACTTAAATTTAATATAAATTATCTAAATGTAACTTATTTTTGATCTTTTTAATATATCTTATTTTTAAGTATGATTTATTATTTTCTCAGTAGGAATTTAACTTTTTATATATATAATTTTTTAAACTCCCTTTTCGACCCATTTTTACTTTCATTTTAGCGCTTCATTCTTCAAATAACTCCGATTTAATATCATAAGGTTGATATCTGGGTTACTTTTATAAAATCACTTCCCTTTAAGGCTAATACCTTCCACCCTCCCCAAGCCACCGACTCGGGCATGTCGTCTGACTTAAACATCAAAATGGATAAATTCGGAATCTATTTTTCAACGGGTGTCAAAGTTAAGTTTCTAGGTCCGCCACGAGCACAGTCTATACACCGGGGTTGAATAAGACTGATGTGCTTATGATCGTCAACTGAAATAAATCCATCCTATGAGGTAATTTTGGATTTGTTGTATATATATATATATAAAGTTGGGACCACGGAAGGAAACACGGATTAGAGGCAAGAAAAATATATTAAACAAAAAGGTTACCAAGATAGTGTAAGCGGAGCTTACTATGTGCTAGTGTTCAATATTGGTAGTCGTACATGGCTGATACTACGGTATTAGAATATATATATATATATATATATATATATATATATCTTATATCGCATACTTTATATAGTCCTGGAAGAGTCCATGTCGTAGGTATGTTACGGTCTCACAACATATATATATATATACACACACACAATAAATACGTAATTACACATGTATATACATACACAAATATTTGTGTGTGCATACTGTATATACACCGTATGTATTAACTCACACACACACTCATAGTTACACAGACTCATTAGAAAAAAAAATCACTGTTAACAACTCATTCTCGAATTGATTCCCTTAAAAATCAAATTGCCCTCTGTGGGTCGTGCGCTCCACTTTGGGAACCTTGACTTCAGAGAGAATTGGAAACCCAGTACTTAATAATCGTGTAAAAGAACAAGAATAACAAATTCAGATAATTCAAGGAGAAACCGTTTTGTTTCCATTTAAGTGAAAAACTGATAACCTTTCGGCTTAATTAGCTTTTACCCTTCAACGGTAAGAATCGTTGGCGCGTCAGTGTACGACAACAAACGGGTAGGAGAAAAAAAAACGTGAAATTCGTTTTTAAAGACACGTTTTTACGCTTATTTTTGCTTTAATCATGTAAAAAATTATAATTGTTGGTTGGTTGATTCTATTTAACGGCATATCAACACCTCTATGGGTTATTTAATACCGAAATCTAAATATTTTGTACATGATTTTATACTTTCAGAGTAAATATGTATGTTTTTTTAGATATATATTTTGTAGATCATAAAATGTATTGTTGGTAATTTTACTATAAAATTGTATTGTTGATTTTTGTTTGCGCGTTCACTATTTATCCATAGATGAGACCCCCCCCCTAACAGATGCTACCACCCTGAGTCAGGGTGGACCTGGGAACAACAGCAATTAAGAGGTGGTTCCATGCTCCTCATAACTTCCAATATCCAAATCAGAGGGTTTGATGCCGGATCTAGTTTTTCATCATACCCCGGACAATGCTTTTTTAGTCATATCCGTCATCTGTACAATTTTTATCAAAATGAGATGAAATATAAAGTGATAATGTTGAAATAATTTTTGGCCTTGAGAAGATGGTTCTACTTCATTCATGTATCTTTTTTTAAAATCAAATTTACCCCATGCAAGGCAATAAAGCCACTAAGACATAAGCAGTTACTGGTTGTGAGAGAATAAGAATATGACATACGTTATTCTGCCTTCACAGTTGAATACGTGGTAGATGATACTCAGCATTTGTGCATATATATGTTTGTGTGGACATAATTGCCAGAAAAAGTATCATGTGTGTTTTATGTTTTGTTGAAGAACAGAGTTATGAACATATCACTCAGTAAAGAATCCATTCTAGAGGTGGTATTTAACAGAGATAATCCATATTGGTTGAGGGTCATTTGATGCTGAAATTTAATTTCTTTGGGAGCTAGTAATAAAAATATGACATACGTTATTCTACCTTCACAGTTGAATACATGGTAGATGATACTCAGCATTTGTGCATATACATGTTTGTGTAAACATAATTACCAGGGGTGATATTTATATTTTGGAATACAGTTTGATTTCTTTAAGAAATTATAAGATATTATATGGACAAATGTCATGAAAGAGTTCTTTCATGTTGGTTGTTTGGTTGATTTTATTTAGCGGCATATCAACACCTCTATGGGTTATTTAATACTGAAATCTAGATATTTTGTACATTTTATACTTTCAGAGTAAAGGTATGTTTTTTTTAGATATATAATTTGTAAATCATAAAATATATTGTTGGTAATTTCACTACAAAAATGTATTGTTGGTATTTTTTTTATAAAAAATGTACTGCTAGTAATTCTACAATGAAACTGTATTATTAGTCATTTTGCTATAAAATGCACTGTTGATTTTTGTTTGGAGACTCATCCGAGTAGATTGTTCTAACTGGTACTGAGACACCCGGACGAGGCATGGCACGTAGAACAAGAACAACCTACCCCGATGGACGAAATAAAGGGTTCAATTCGAAATTCTAATCACCTGAAGAAGGCCGGAGCGTATAACGGCCGAAACATCGTGAATATGGCAACGAAAATAAGGACAACAGTCCGAACAATGTAAATAGTGTATATATAATCATTTCAACTTAAATTTTAAATTATGAATGAATGTGTTGATTTTGGCTTTGAGAAGATGGTTAAAGGTTTAGCTGGGGGGGGGTATTCATACCATTCCCAAGAGTAATTGCGCGTAAGATAATATAACGAACTCAACTGAAATTAGTTTCCTATTTGTTATCCATATTTGATCCCAACTCAATAAAAAATGTGTTTCGGCTTTAAATAATTCACAAAGGGTTGATAAGCCGTAAAAAAAATCAATCAACTAATTATGTTTATACTTACCTAAAGTTGTGACTACACGTTTTACATATATGCATTTTTTTTTTCAACATTCAGCTATTTCGAAGGATTACGCCCTGTTCTGGTCACCGCTGACCTTGATGTCCTGCATCAAGTGATGGTCAAGAAATTCGACGTATTCCATGCCAGAAAGGTCAGTGAACAAGATCAAGGTTGATCCTCTTTCGTTCAATTCTTTCTTATTTCTGTTCGTTTATTTCATGTGATCAATGGAGGTTAGCGTTTGACCCACAAGCTCCTACTACTGAGTTCGATCCCTACAGAGCGTTCAATGAAAACGTCCTTCATCAAAAGTTAGTACAGTAGGATCCCTCATATCCGGAATCCCTCATATCCGGAATCCCTCATATCCGTAATCCCTCATATCCGGAATCCCTCATATCCGGAATCCCTCATATGCGGAGTGCCTCATATCCGGATTCCCGCATATCCAGACATGATTTTGGTGTGTATATTTGAACTATCTGGGTGATATGTAACTGATTTGAAATTTCTGTCTTTCAGAAAATTTACTTTGGATAATTGCTTTTGTTTATTTCACCCTAATGGCTTGTATTGGTGCAAAAGATGATGCGAATAAGAGGAAAAGAACAACTTTGAAGTTATTGCAAAAAGTTGAAATTTTAAACAGACTAGACGCTGGTGAATGTCATTGTAACTAATGGCTGAGTTCAACATAGGAAAGTCAATATTTTATGATATAAAATCTTCCAAAGAAACTATTCTCCAACGTTCACACCATCACAATGAACAAGGAAATAAAAAAAAACATGATTGTGATGAACCCTGGACAGAAATTGAAAAAGCTATTGAAAAAGTTATCAGTTCTATGGAAATAAAGCCAGCATTCAGCTATGACGGTTGCAATAACGCACACAGTTAAAAGTGTCTTTCGTTTAAAAAATTCAAGAACAAAAACAATACAAAATGCGGAAAAAGTTGAGAATGACATTAGAAGAGAAAGAATCATCATGCAACAGCGATTAAAAGATTCTCGTTACATTATTTGTTTTGCATACGTGACATACTTAATTTAATGAATTTTCATTAAAATTACATAATTTTTTTCCTTAAAATCAATTCTGTTATATTTCACTCACCATTAGCTTATTCTGTTTACTATAAAACATTGAATATAAATGTTAAAACTGATTTCAGTTGTTTTATTTTAATCTAGATATAGTCCCCTCATATCCGGACTTTGTAACCAATTCCACATATTCGGAAGGCTTTTTTAGTCCGGTTGTCAAGGATTCTACTGTATTGTCCAACATATATATCTACATTTTTATTAAACCTATATCCTCCTGACAATAAGTTTAAAATGATCCCTTCTTTTTTTTCTGTATATTCAGACAATTTTCCTTAAATTTCGCATTTTCTTGATTTCAAATGAAAACCTGAAATTTTCCAATATATTTCAGTGGGAGCTTTCACTTTCACTTTCCAAAATTATCTTATTATAATTCTCTTTCCTCTGGTACCTCAATTAGCACGGTCGTTATACCCTGTCAATACCTCATAAATAATGAAGCATTCCGTTTTGATCACGTGGAAAAACAAAAAAAAACACATCCGAGATGCTTCTTGGTTCCAGTGAGAAAATGAAAGAAAGGAGGACAGATTGAAGTGTTTAACTTCTTTTGCCAATACTACATTAATAATGGGCTATTCCCTTTTGAGCGTGTGGGAATACGGAAAGGACATATCAGAGACGCTACCTGGTTTCAGTGAAAGAAAGAAATAAAAAAAACGCTCTGCCACTACTTCATAAATAATTTATCGTGAGGAAAGACGGAAAAGACATATCAGAGACGCTGTTTCATTTCAGTGAACGAAAGAAAGAACAAAATTCAAACAGGAAATCCGTAGTAGATTATAAGCATAGTTTAGATATATGAAAAAAGGAAGGCGACAGTTTCAATTGATACCAGGAGAATATAGATTTAACTAACGCCTCATTTTTCTATATATATTGTGACCATGTTGCTTACAATTAGCATTTTCTTGATTTCAGACGAAATCTTGGAAGTTTTCCAATATATTTCAGTGTAACGGTCACATTCCAAAATTATAGTTAATAAATATAGTCTCAATCAGTTGTTCTCAACCGAGATCCATATGGCCCCTGAGGGTCCATGTAACATTACTGCAGGTTCACACAAAAATAAAAATATCAAATTGGGGGTCCACGGTATTAAGTAAAATTGTATAAAGATTATAATTTATTATATAAATTAATTTAATATATTAATAATAAATACTAATATTAATCTTAAATATTAATAAAATAAAATATTAATATATTAATATAAATTAATTAATATACTAATAGACTTGACATTTTGAAAAGGTAGATCTTTGACTATCATCGGCATCGATGGAGCCGAACATAAAAAAAAAACTTGCAGAGTAGCATCAACCACAGGGATATTATTGAATAAATTTTTAACATTTTTTTTATTTATTAATATTACATATTTTAAAGTGGTTTATTATGAGTTATTTTACTAGTGTACATAAATGTTTCATAGAATTTAGTTGTTGAATACAAGTTTATTTTTGTTTAAATTAGTTTTACTTAAAAAAAAAGCATAAAAATTTACTATTTTCTATAATACATTTCCTAAACTTATCTATTAGTAAAAAATAAAATAAGCTTCTTTTTTTCTTTCTTTTTTTTTTTTTTATTGAATGGTTAGGGGGTCTACTAAAAAAAATAAAGAGTAAAAGTTGTCCATGGTTAAAAAAAGGTTGAAAACTTCTGATCTAATGACCAAAAATTCATCTTTTCTGTCTGAATTTCTGAGATGAGAAGTTATCATTATTTTCACCATTTACATGCCGACTCTTATCCTCATCTTTGTTGTTGTTATTCGTACAATGTTTTGGTTGTTCGATAGAATTTAGTTATTAAATACAAGTTTATTTCCATTAAATTAGTTTTAGTTCAAAATAAAGCATATACATTTACTATTTGTATAATACAATCCCTAAAGTTATCTATTAGTAAAATATAAAAAAGGTTATAATTTCAAAGAAAGGTTTTTTCTTCACCAAAAAAAAAATAAGCGTGAAAGGGGTCCATGGGTAAAGAAAGATTGAGAACCACTTGTTTAGATATATGGAAAAAATGAAAACGTAGTTTAAATTGACACCAGGAGAATACCAGTTAATCAAAAAAGAACATTATATCATAGAATCGAATATTCTGCCTTCAAATTACAATAATGATATTATACAATAAATAGCACATGAGACCCAAACCTTGCTTGAGAGAGTTCAAACTAACGCCTTCTTTTCCCCATATATTGTAACCATTTTGCGGCCAGAAAAAAAGCACATCGGATCAAACGATGGTTTCTCCTATAAAGGGGGACGCAGGTTTGAAACCCGCCGGACAGCATTTTTTTTTTTTTACTAATGTTCACCGAATACAAGCCCTAAGTGCCACTCATGGTAGAGGGTTACTGTTTGAAGTTATATTAGCGTGGGAAAGGACCAGCGTTAGGAGTATAAAGCTGAAGTATATTTTAGAAGTAACGCGAAATCCAATTCTAAACAGAAAAGAAGGGATAAAAATTCGATTCCTGTTCAAAAGACTAGGGAGGAGTGTGAACCGGGCTTTATTATTTTTTCTCGGATACGCAGGCCGATAGAGATAATACACAGTGTTTAAAGTAATTAAAAAAAAGAAAGCGTGTCGTCTATTTCAAACACGGGTATCCACTAGAAATAATGTTTGAATAAAAATTGTTCGATTTAAAATAAATTCATTAATTTTTTTAAAAAACGCTTTGTTTACGCTTCGGATGCAAAACTGAACAGATATGGTCTTCCGTGAAAAATATCCGAACGATGAAGTGTGCTTTCCTTAAAAAGATAAATAGAAGTAAATAGAACCTTGCTAGGCTTTGACGCGTTGTGTGACCTAACTGTCTAAGGCACACCGGATCAAACAGTGGTTTTCACTATAAAGGAGGACGAAGGATCGAAACGTGCTGGTGAGCACATTTTCTTTATTACGTTTTCTCTAGTTCACTGTTTAAAATTTTTAAAAAGCGTTTATTTTAAACACGATTATCGACTAAAAATAAGGTTTTAAATATACACGCACACACGCGCGCGCACACACACACACACATATACTGGATTCTCTTCTGTCGTTTTGGACGTATGAGGGACAAACAAATCAGTTCTTAGAGCCAACAGCCAGACTACGCGCACATATTATTTGATTATAATGGTGATAGCTTGTGCAGAACCATCCACACTTATTGAAAGAGCCGAATACAGAAAACTGGTGCACACTATACCACAAAGTTCCCAAAGGACTCTCCGCAGGTTTTGAATTCAGTGTTGTCCTCCTCCTAGACTGTTCACTGCCCAAGGCTATAGGACCCAGTTTGTCCTGCTATTTACCCATAGCTGAGGGGAAAAGAGAGAAATTCATACCTTTCCCAGAATTCGAACTCTGCTCTCTGATGCCGCAATCCATTACATCACCGTACCTCCATATTGTGTGTGTGTGTGTGTGTGTGTGAGTGAGAGAGAGAGAGAGAGAGAGAGACCAAAATATGCATAATGTTTGCTTAAAAAAAAGAACCAACAAAATTTGTTCTCTTCACAGGTCTTCCCAGTTCAAGTTGATCCTGACAAAGACGAAGAGGTCCACATGTTTTTTGCTCGCGGTGACCGATGGAAGCGGCTAAGAGCCATCAGTAATCCTGCTTTCACAAATGCTAAAATTCGAAAGGTCTATAAAATTGCACTTATTAATTAAACAGTAATTAAGAGAAACAAACGTCTAATTAAATTGGTTTATGCTTGTCTTATTTGAATTAAATTTACTTATGTAAAAGATTATAATTGTAATTCAAAAGCAATGTCAATCGTCATCTTTAGTCTCCTTGAACCCTATTCTTTTGTTGTCGTCAATGAGCCTTTCACTTCCAGTATCTTAGAGGCTTTATTACCTTGCTTGAAATGAGATTATTAAACAAATGACAGTTTTACTCGTAACTATTATACTTGTCTTGAATTAGTTACTTATGTAACCAATTATGAATTTATAGAAATAAACAAACTAGGGTTAAGAAGAAACAAGTCAAAACTCCACTAATTAAATTCAGGTTACAAATGGGATCACCTCTTAATCAAGTTTTAGTTTGTCTGTTCTTAAAATACTTATTGAAATACGTAGTAATCAAAAACAATCAAAAATGCATAGGATCATAATGTATAAATTTAAGCGCAGTACTACATTGGCAGTTAGGTCTCGTCATTTTACCTTTTAAATTGCTATGCTATTGTTTTCTTTTTTCATACTTCGAAATACTAGAAATGTCTTCCCGCTTCTTCCTTTCCCGCCAGTTACAATTTTCAAAAAGTTAAATACAAATATCAACCGTCATCTTCTATCTTCTTGAAAACTTATTCCTTTATTGTCATTTCTGTTACTTTCACCCTGAGTCCCCCTCTTGTATCTCAGTGACTTTATCACCTTGCTTTGAGTGAAATGGTTAAAAACGACAAAAAAAAAGTTAAATATACCCTCATATAAACAAGCATATTAAGAAAAAAAAATTGTTTTGTGTATGTAAACTTTAAAGCATTTCCCGCTTGTGAAAATCTCTTTCTGCTTCTTGCTTTCTTGTCAATTACGCTCTTCAAAAGGTTAAATGTAGACTTCAAAAATTGATCACGCCAAACTATGCGTTCTCTCCAGAAATCTGAAACTAATCTCCGTCCAGCACACCTGCATAATAATACCACAAGTATGCTCTGTGGGTTAAGCAGGTGTTTGTAATAGGGATTGGCTAGCCCCGTTGGCAGGCGTGTGTGCTTTGAGACGTGAGATATTTAAATCAGTAACACCTAGTAAGTTATCACTCAAGCACTTTGGTGTAGTCTAGCATGCCATAGGAGTAAGGATGAGACGATTTCCCTGTCATGTTCTTAAATAGCCTCGTCAGATCGAGATTTTCATGTAAATGTCATGCACGGCGCCAAACCCGTCCAGAAATATCTAAACTGTCAGCTGTATACAACCGCTTCCTAAGATCAATAGTGACAAAAAGCTTTAAGCGACCGAAGCCTGATGGTTTTGGCAAAGACCATCTTTCTTTGCACATTGTGGACTGGCGCTACAGAATCACAAAGAACTGTACCAAGTAATAGAAACCACATCACTAGAGGACTACCAACAGCAGCAACAACTAAAATGAATAGTGCATATAACTAGAAGAGAGAATAATGACATAATCAAGATGTTGACATTTTACACCACTGCAAACAAAAAGTTAGGAAGGAAACCTCCATCAATACTGGAAAGAGTGATAACAGATACTGGATTTGAAAAGATTTTGATTTGAGAAAAGATTTTATAAATTTCAAAAAACTGGCTGCTGGGTCGAATGTTTTTATAAAACGGCTAATATTCATTTGAAGAGGACAGATACTACAATTTCAAACGGGATGAAAAAATAAAGTCAGTACTGGCTGCTGGTCAATGAATGCCGAATGTTTCATTATAAGGAAACGGCTAATATTACCATTAGAGATGAGGAGGACAGATACTACACTTTGATCCCAGCCCGATGGCCAGGGAGTGAAGAAAAGCATAAAGTGTAGCACTGGCTGCTCGGTCAATGAATGCCGAATGTTTCATTATAAGGATAAGGCTAATATTACCATTAGAGATGAGGAGAACAGATACTACACTTTGATCCCAGCCCGATGGTCTGGGAGTGAAGAAAAGCTTAACGAGTAGCACTGGCTGCTCGGTCAATGGATGCCAAATGTTTCATTATAAGAAAACGGTTAATATTACCATTAGAGATGAGGAGAACAGATACTACACTTTGATCCCAGCCTGATGGCCAGGGAGTGAAGAAAAGCGTAAAGAGTAGCACTGGCTGCTCGGTCAATGGATGCCGAATGTTTCATTATAAGGAAACGGCTAATATTACCATTAGAGATGAGGAGAACAGATACTACACTTTGATCCCAACCCGATGGCCAGAGAGTGAAGAAAAGCTTAACGAGTAACACTAGCTGCTCGGCAATGAATGCTAAATATTTCATTATAAGTAAGGATATTAACATCTTCAGGGAGAAAGTGGGCGCAACAGACTAGCCTAGAATTTGAACTCGGATCAACGAGTCCACTTTCCGCGCCGATATTCGTTACACTACCTGAACATCACGTGTTCAAACTGTAGCATCAAAATCCTTGTATACTGCCTAACTTTTACAAGGCCACTAAAAAATATTTACTTGGAGGTCAAAGTTTCTTTCGTGACAGCCTTTTTTTTTTCAATCACTCTTCCTGTTTTTATGTGCTATATTTGTAAGGCCCACCCAAATTGTAAATGTTAGTTTTCAATATAAACAACCATTTTTGAGTTCCCAAGAAATCCAAAACCTCCTTTGAATATATCAGTATCTACTTCTCATCGCCCCTGCTGGGATCCACCATTTAAACGTATATACATTGTGTCCTAAAAGTCACCAAGGTATTTCAAAATTTAATAACTCCTTTACTTTTTAACTTTAATACACAATATCATAGTATTATATAGGGTAGATATGGGAAATAAATATGCACTTGTTGAGAAAGATTACATCTTTTAAGTGGTGGCATTGCACAAACGTATCCATTCTAAGACATTTTCCAGAAAGGCCATCACTGTTTCAAGCTTGTGCTTTGTTATCTGCCTGAATATTGTCCTTCAGTTGTTGGAGAGTCTGAAGCTTGTTGATATAAACCTTTTCTTTGGGATAGTCTCATAGGAAGAACTCAGGGCTTGTCAGATCCAGGGAACATGGTGGACAGTTTATGCCGCAACCTTGAGAAGTTATTCTTTTTCCCTAACATTTGCCCGAGAAGCTGAATTGATGCCCCATCTTGTTGCAAAGAAACAGATGCAATTAAAAATTTGTTGGGGTGATGTCCGAGATATCCGAACTTCTCGAGACCGCCTTCGAATTATGTTGTATATCCCCCTGTTGGGGTTGATCCCATCCCGTCTTCTCTTGGCCGGCGATCGCTACGTGTTTTGAGTCCAGAGATAAAAGAACTTCAAGACAGGGAATTTTCAACTTAACTATTTTATTAACATTCATGTCAACATGTTCAATCTATCCAGTGGTCCGCCCCACTCCAATGGGGAGCCGTTTCAGACACGAAAGAAAACACGTCTATATTGTTTGACGGTTAAGAAACAACTCACTGAAAAAAGTTTCTCTATCTCCTTTCCCACGCTATCAATCAAAATCGACTTCCCTATTTTGTCTTCCATCTGACCTCGAAGGTCAATATCAGGAAATCCGAGCGGATATACGTTTCCCCTTAAAATTAATAGTCTGCTAAACTATCATTTAGTAGTTGATGCTCTCAGATCTCCGATACTCTCCCTTAATCATTCAAATACTCCTAGAACATAGTATACTCTTTCCTGGAAAGTCACTTACTGAACATATACTCTTAAAACTTGGAGAATCTCTCACACCGTAATGGCGACGTTGTGCTTCATTCTCTTCTTGTTCTTCTTCTCTTGTAACGGCATTCACCCGGGGTGGGTTGAGCCGGCTCCAATATTGGAGTTTTATGGGAATTTGGAATTCACAAGCGGTCCCCAACCCACATGTATAGCACATGAGATTTGATTATAATGGTGAAGGTTTCGTGCAGACACACTTTTTGAAGGGCAGATTACAGAGACCCGGTGCACTAAGTGCCACAAGGTCCCCAAACGACCCTCCGCAGGTTTTGAATTCAGAGTTTTCCTTCTCCTAGATCTGTTGCCATCCAAGGCTATAGAACCCAGTCTGTCCTGCTATTTGCCCATAGCTGGAGGGAGAAGAGGATTCATACCTTTCCCAAGGGTATTAGCACGTAAGTGAATGTAATATATTCGACTGGAATTCGAACTCGGCTCTCCGATTCCTCAATCCAAGCCGCTATCCATTACTCCTCCGATATGCTTCATTGAGTTTGAATTATTGATCCTAGCTTTTGGTGAAAAGAATTCACTACCTGTGTTCATTTTTCAGTTTTGTGTTTTTACATGGTTAATTTCCAAAGCCTTCTTTATAAAATTTCTGAAAGAAAACTAAAGAAATATTAATAAACAAAAAAGTTATTAAAGTTTCAAACTTCCTGGCGACTTTTGGGACACCTTGTGTAGAATTAAGTTGTATGCTTATAGATTTATTTCATTCATTATCGCAGATGTCCCAATTGGTGCACAAAACGATTGACAGCGTCATATATCTTCTCAGAAAGAAAGCCGAGACGAATAGCGAGGTTGAAATGTATGAGTAAGTAATTCCTTGACTCGCGACATTTATTTTTTACATATCATATTACGTCGGGTAATGGGTGAGCTAAGTGGAGAAAGTGCATATTCTCCCAGTTTCTATTTTCCCCCATTATGGGCATTATCATAAAGAAAAAGAAGCTGTGGAGAGACACAACCGATTTCATTAGAATGAAGTCGGTCATGTCTCTCGACAGCTTCCTTTTCTTTATTATCTATGAAGTGTCATGACCTCTTGACAAAGACAGTAGTCTCCCGTTGGATTCGCCACGGTTTTGAATTCAATGTATTCTTCTTCTTAGACTTGATGCCACTCAAGGCTAGAGAAAGCAGTTTACCCTTGTGTTATTACGAGATATCTAACCAAAGTTTCTCCTCGATGTTGCCTATAGCACTGAGAAAACTCCTCAAGCCTTACAGAACCAACATTTATTTCGCTGGCATGTGTAGCTCAGGAACAGTAAAATTAGGATTTTTTATAGGTCACGTTCATTCAGAACGTATGAGATCATGACTCTTCACAGCTTCCTTTTCGGTATTGTCTGTGAATTGCCATGTATTTTCAAGAATTATAGTGGATGGTTTTCCAGTTACCTTCTTCACGGTTTGGAATTCGGAGTTTTCCTTCTCTTAGGTTGGTTACAATTTTTTAAATGAAATGTCGCTTCAGAACGAAGGCAATCATGACTCTCTACCATATAGTCGTCTTATATTAGTCTTCTGATATATTAGTCTTTTGATATATTAGTCTATTGATATATTAGTCTTCTGATATATTAGTCTGATTATATTATATTAGTTTTATGATATATTAGTTTGATTATATTATATTAGTTTTATGATATATTAGTCTGATTATATTATATTAGTTTTATGATATATTAGTTTGATTAGTATATTAATTTTATTCCATATTAGTCTTATATTAAACTTAAGATATTATATTATTACTTTGATATATTAGTCCTATGATATAGGACTTATATCTGTATTAGTCTTACGATATCTTACTTTTCGTGTGTTATTTAGTCTGTTGGTATATTAATCTTATGATATATTAATGTGATTGGAGAATTAAAGGAAAAAAGTAAATAAATAAAAAAATGACTTATTGCTGGCACAAAGACTTCGTGCGTGCATTGAATGTAAAGAAATTCAGAAAAAAAAAGTAGATGGCTCCTCAAAAGGCAAATATTTAAGAACGTTACATTCTCACAAATACGAGATTTCGATGGTAACATTCAAATTTCCGACCGTGGAGATGAATATAAAAATCACTTTACCAATTGAGGGAGAGGGATTTTTTTTTTTTTTTTTTTTGATCCTACGATCTTTGCTGAGTCGAGTGTAGATTTTCTGCGGTGGACGAATGGTAAAAGCACGAAAGATCGAGAAGAATAGAAGAACAAGAAGAAGAGAAAAGAAGAACAAGAAGAAGAGAAAAGAAGAACAAGTACAAGAAGAAGAAGAAGAAAAAAGAAGAAGAAGAGAAAAAAGAAGAAGAGAAAAGAAGAAAAAGAAGAAGAGAGAAGAACAAGAAGAAGAGAAAGAAGAAAAAGAAGAAGAGAAAAGAAGAAGAAGAGAAAAGAAGAAGAAGAGAAAAGAAGAAGAAGAAGAATAAAGAAGAAGGAGAAGAGAAAAGAAAAAAGAACAAGAGAAAAGAAGAAGAGAAAAGAAGAAAAAGAACAAGAGAAAAGAAGAAGAAGAGAAAAGAAGAAGAAGAATAAAGAAGAAGAGAAAAGAAGAAAAAGAACAAGAGAAAAGAAGAAGAAGAGAAAAGAAGAAGAAGAATAAAGAAGAAGAAGAGAAAAGAAGAAGAAGAAGAAGAAAAGAAGAAGAAAAGAAAAGAAGAAGAAGAATAAAGAAGAAGAAGAGAAAAGAAGAAAAAGAAGAAAGAAGAAGAAGAATAAAGAAGAAGGAGAAGAGAAAAGAAAAAAAGAACAAGAGAAAAGAAGAAGAGAAAAGAAGAAAAAGAAGAAAGAAGAAGAAGAATAAAGAAGAAGGAGAAGAGAAAAGAAAAAAGAACAAGAGAAAAGAAGGAGAAGAGAAAAGAAGAAAAAGAACAAGAGAAAAGAAGAACAAAAAGTAGAGAAAAGAAGAGGTTTATACTTGCCAAAGCAAATACCAAAGAACCGACGATAAAGACAGTTAAATTGATTCTTTCACAAGTGAACACAAACTACAATTAATCTTATATTAAGATATATTAGTCTTATGATATCTTAATGTTATGATATCTTGCTCTTAGTACGTTATTTGTTCTTTTGGTATATTAATCTTATGATATATTAGTCTTATATTATCAGGGAACCCTTTTCTGCATTGTCTGTGAATTGCTATGTATTTTCAGGAATGATAATGGACAGGTTTCCCATTACCTTCTTCACGGTTTTTTCGAAGTTTTCCTTCTCTTTGATTGGTTACAAGCCAAAGTTAGAGATTCCAGTCTACCAAGCTATTTAACCCAGAGTTGGATGCAGTGGGAAGGAGACGGATTCACGCCTTTGCCAAGAGCTTCAAGGCGAAAGTAAACGAAACAGACTAGCCTGGAATTTGAACTCGGCTCGACAAGTCCACTTTCCATTAAACTACGTCAATATTTAGGTTCTAGAATCAGAATCATTAAATACACAGAGTTAACATTTACAAGGACTGAGTCTTTTTATATTATTCTTTTGGTACATTAATCTTATGATATATTAGACTTAAGATATTATATTAGTCTTATGATATATTAGTCCTATGATGTAGGACTTATATTTAAATTAGTCTTATGATATCTTACTCTTATGGTGTTATTTATTCTTTTGATATATTAATCTTATGATATATTAGTCTTATATCATCAGTGAACCCAGCATTGCGAGTTTACTGTCTTCAAGTAACTTCCACAATCATTTGCTCTTAATCTTATCCGGCACTTTTGGTATATGCTGGTTGGATCGATTCAAATCTTGGGTGTAGAGCCAACCAATTGAGAAGACTTTCAGCCATTGCAACAACATTGACCCAAATTATCAAAATTATTGTTTGTCTTGAATTCATTATATTTTCCTACAAGTATTTTTAGACTTTGTTCTTGTAAAATCCCGAATTGACTTTCGTGTTGTATTATACGATTATATTTTCTATACTATTGAGGATATTAATATCATATTACGCCGGGTAAGCTACCAGATAATGGGTGAGCTAAGTGGAGAAAGTGCATATTCTCCCAGTTTCTATTTTCCCCAATTATGGGCATTATCATATTCATAAAATGATAACATCTTAATACACGGACGGGCGGAATGGCTGACAGGAAAGGAATGACAAACATGCTTTGTTCTCAGTTGGAGTTTTATGTCGCTAAATCATACACAAAATTTATACACATATTTACATTTGCTCTACACAGATAAACGATAACATATGTCTACACAACAAGTAATGTGAAAAGACAATGAAAACATAATATTTTACATAGAGAAAACGGCAAGTTATGGCTTTTTCCGAAAGTGAGAACTGCGAGCCGGAAATATATTCTGTATCTGATGAAGATATATTTCCTTATGAAAACGGCACCATGGTTTCGCATGCTGCAAACATGGCAGTTGGTTTGCCCGGGTAAAAGCCTGGGTAAAACGAACAACTCGTGTGCCGTCACTCTATAACTTCATCTCAACCAAAGATATCGATTTTTATACTTACAATGATTTTATTCAGTCTGTACATACAAACTGACTTATTAATTCTGAAATATCATCTAAAATGTTCCTAATTTGTGATAAATAAAGTGATTTTTGTGCATTTACTTAATAGAAGAGTATTGTTCGTTGTCTGTACATTTGTGTTTATGGAAAGAAGTCAATTATTGTAAAGTCCTTCCTAATAATATGTCAGTCAGTTATGTGCCTTGCATGATACACGCTTAGGCGATCATTTATCTTTCGATACATGAGTGACGAGGCAGATTTTTTCCCGCAGTAGGTTGTCATTTCTTTCTGCGGTAGACCAGTTGCCATCCAAGGCTATAGAACCCAGTCTGTGGTAAATAGCAGATTTACCCATAGCTGGTGAGAGAAGAACAGGATTCATACCTTTCCCAAGGGTATTAGCATATAAGTGAATGTAATGGATTCGACTGGAATTCGAACTCGGCTCTCTGATTCCTCAATCTGAGCCGCGATACATTACTCCACTGTGCCTTCCCGTGTTTCAAACTTATCATTTGTAAATAACATCAAAGTCCAATAACTGTAAATGGTTAAGAATTGATTTTACACTATATCAACTGGACACCCACTTCTAAATTGCAAAAAAAAATTAATACTCCAGTAATAATAATATGTATCGTTGCTAATAAACTAAATATATGATATTTCTACCGATTCCTTGCTAAAAAGTTTCTGTAATTGTTTAGTAGTGACTGAGAGAACTAGAAGTCCTACCAGGATTCATTATTGGCGACCACAATCTTAACAAAATAACATATGCAGATGACATAATGTTGATATCAGACATGGAAAGAAACCTGCAAAACCTCCTACAGAAAATCATGAAGGAACGCGTGAAGAAATGACTAAACATCAACTGCAATAAGACAATGCATGGTTGTTAGCAAAAGGGACAGCCCAACATGCAAATTACAAATCAGGGATACCAAAATCAAACAAGTGCAGAAATTTAAATATTTGCGAAGAAGAGTTTTAACAGAGGACGGAATGTGTGACAGTGAATTCCGAAGGTGTACAGAGTACTAAGAAAAAGAAAAAACTTCACAAGAAACAAGGAAAAGAGTACTGAACTGTTATGTAATATCTGTCCTCCTGTATGGCAGTGAATGTTGGACAATCTTCTCACAGATAAAGAACAGATTAGAAGCAACAAAAATGCGGTTCTACAGAAGGATGCTGAGAATACCATGGACAGAACATGTGAACAACGACAAAGTTTTAGAGAAAATGCAAACAAAAAGGAAACTCATACTTAACATCAGGAAGATACAGTTGAGGTTTCTAGGGCATATAACTGCCTGTATATGGATAGAAAATGAGTTCAACAGATATACGAAAATAGAAAGGAGTGTAAGATAAGGACATGTCTTCTCCCCGAACATTCAACCTATACAGGGAGGCAATTCTGGGAGAACTAGAAATTCTACCGGCTTTATTATTGGCGGCCATAATCTTAACAACATAAGATATGCAGATGACACAGTGTTGATAGTAGACACAGAAAGAAAACTACAAAATCCCCTACAGAAGTTAGTGAAAGAAAGTGAGCATAAATGATTAAACATCAGTTATTTAAAGACATTTTTATGTTTAACATTCTGTTTATAGATACAAGTATTTAAGTAAATTAAGTTTATAATAAACAGTATTACATAACATTTACGCCATGAGCAGTTATGAACGTACGTAAGCAGTAAATTCGACCTTGCCAACCGAACGATCCTTTGTGGCCGAGAGGTAAGGCACGTCAGGTTATATGACAGTTCCGTATAGGATACAGGTTCGAATCCTGTCGAAGGACGAATATTTTTTATGAAAATTTCTCGGACATTCGGGCCGGTAAATGTTATTTAATACTATTTATTATAAATAGAGCATTTACTTAAATACTTGTATCTATAAAAAGAATGTATAAACATAAAAATGTCTTTAAATAATTGTCGGACTTTGTCCATTTCATAATGTGAAACATCAGTTGCAAGAAGACAGAATGCATGGTTGTTAGCAAATGGATGGTCCCAAAGTACGAATTGGTAATCGGAGATACCATTAAAAAAAGTGCGGAAATGTAAATATATTATTGCCACCCGACACAGCTACCCATCTACCCGGTTACTTTCATATAATTGTTTTATATTAATTATCATCATTGAATGACGTTCTGTTTGTTTCATTCATTCATTTGTTCGCTTAGCGCATCTAGCGTCGCCGCTGTGGTCCCCACTCCCCTCTATTGTAATTGTGGTTCATGGTGACATTCAAGACAGAATAGTTTAATGGCTTGCTGGTTCCTTTTGCACCGGGGGTGTTGAGGTTACCCGACTCCTCCTCTCAGAAGTTAAAGAGGCAACACCTACAAAGCAGCAGGTGGTTTGAATTCAGAATTGTCCTTCTAGACTGGCAAAGGCATATGGAAGCCGTACTCCCTCCAAAGTACATGACACCTCCCCCTCTCGGGCGTACCAACAAGATCCAAAGGAATAGAGGACATTAAATTTGAGGACGGTTTAACTGAAGGAGTTGCCGGAAAGTTGTCAGTTAACCACCTTCCGAGTTTTCTGTCTGCATTTGTTTCCATATTCTTTTCCGTGATTTGTATATGGCCGCAAGGCAGCGGTTGTTTAAAATCAGGGTTTTCCTTCCCTTAAAGATGTTCTGCCTTCCTGAGCTATCGAGCTCCATCTACCCGAATTGCTATTTGATCTATCATATTTAGTTTTATTTTCACGTTTACTAGTTAATCTAGGAGACATGGTGGAGTAAAGGTATGAACCGTCTCCTTCTCCCTCCATCTATGGGTAAATAACAAGACCAACTGGGTTCTATAACTTTGGATAGCAATCGGTCTAGGAGAAGGTAACTCTGAATTTAAAACCGGTTGGTTGGGTTCCGTCAGGCTATCTTGTCCAAGAAGCACCCATTTTACTGTGACTGCGGTACGCATGGTGCCCCTACGACCCTGACAGGCCACGGGATTTGCGATCGATCGCGACGAGTTAATATCAATACAACGTTTGAATATTTTTTGTTTTGAACAAGTTATGATCTGTTTTTCTTCATTTTTTTGAGAAACCAGTTGGGACGCAGTTATATATATATATATATATATATATATATATATATATATATATATATATATATATATACCGCCATTGACTTCTTTTATTTAATCTTTTTTTTTTTTTTTCTCTGTATTTTTTTTTATGCAGCATCTTTCAACGTCTAACTCTTGATTCAATGGCCAACTGTGGCTTTGGATTTTGTACTTCGGCCATTGAAAATCCGAACGATATATTTCTCAGAAAATGTCGACAAGTTTTGGAGAACACAACAAAACCGAATATATATTTTCTCCTTGGCTGTAAGTACGCTTTGTATCTGAGAGAAAAATCAGCATTTTTCGAATTTTGTTTTTCTACTGAATTATCGCTATTTATGACCTTGTCAGCCATTCGTACCGAAGGTCAGGTTGGCCTTATTTTCATTTTTAAGTGTCGAAGGGGTGCTTTGCTTTTTTGAAATACCTGACTGAATTTCTTTTAAGCAAAATAATAGGAAACAGGAAAAGAGTACTATGTGATATCTGTCTTCAGAAATGTAGTTCTACAGAAGGATGCTGAGGATACCATGGACCGAACATATGATTAACGACAAAGTTTTACAGCAAATGGAAACATAAAGGAAACTAATGCTTAACATCAGGAAGAGACAATTGCGGTTTTGGGGGAATATAATGAGGTAGGATGGTTTGGAAAATTTGATACTCACGGGGTTGGATAGAGGACAAGAGAGACAGAAAGAAACAACGCATAGCATACTTAGTCACTTTGAGTAAATAGATGTCGGATCAGAACATAGGAGAAATAACAGAAAGACAAAGTTTATTAAGAGTTACAAAGACGGGAAGTTGTGAAGAGCCATGATCGCCTACGTCCTTAGGGGACACGGCACATGAAGAAAAAGATTTTAACCATTGTTTTTTTTTCGTTCCGATTGGTTTTCTAGTCTTTGAAAATGAAATAAAGTTAAAAGTATAGGTAAGGAAAAGAAAGTTGGCAGTAACACTATACATGTTATGCAGAAATAACTGGATCAGCAGACCTATCGTAGACAATAAGGGAGATTTTATTTCGCAGTTAATGTTGATTTTCCACACCACTTCAAACAAAAGATTAGGAAGAAAACCCCTATCAATACTGGAAAGAGCGATAACACCTACATCACTTGTGAAACCTGTTTTCCTTCTTTTTTTTTTTTAAAAAAAGTGTTTTAAGAAAAAGAGTTTATAAATTTCAATCGAAAACAGTACTGCTCGGTCAACGAATGCCAAATGTTTCCTTGTAGGGAAACGGCGAATATTACCATTACCATAATGGCAAAATTTCCTCTTCTTTCTCACCGGCTTTGAGTTCATAAATGTCCTTCTCGTACACTGACTCACACCAGAGGCTAGAGAGATCCGTCTACCCTACTGTTTTACTGGGAGAAGGAGAAATAGATTCATGCCTTTGGACTAATATCTGCTTTTTATGTATTGAAGGGCAGCTGTGGGACTGCTACCGTAATATCCGCCGAAAACACCTTGACCACAGCCAGTGTTTGATAACGAAAATTGTCGAAGTAGGAATTGAAATGTTTATTTGTGTATTATCGTAAATGATTCGTTATGACTTGTCTAACTTCCTTGCATAGATTTATAAACATAAAAATATTTCTATAGAAGTGATGGATTTTTTTATTTATTAATTTCAAATATTTCATTACTGAATCTTTATTTTTAGTGGTTAGCCATATTTGAGTAGACGTTCCGTTTATTTATTAAACAGTATATTTATTTAGTTTTCGTCTACCGGAAGTATGGCGGAATAATGGATAACGGGTCGGATTGACGAATCGGAATACCAGTCAAGTTCGTTATATTCACTTACGTGCAAATACCCTTTCTCCCCACATATGAGTAAATAGTAAGACAGACTGTGCTCTTCAGCCCTGAGTGGCAACCAGTCTAGGAGAAGGACAACTCTGAATTCAAAAATCCTGGCGAAGTATAAACTATGCACCTAATTATAAGATCATGGAGTTTATAATCACTCTATGATCCAGACTGCGATCGTATATATATATATATATATATATATATATTTTTATGTGTATATATATATATATAATTATTACAAAATATATAATTAGGCCTGATGATTGAGTTTAGCATGAAACAGTCTGTTGCCTATGAGTGTTGACTTCAATGTTCACTTTTATATTTATATATGGTTTATCTCTGATATTGAGCACTTTGTCCCGTAATATAGCAAACCTTAAACTCTATTTCTTCATATATATATATATATATATATATATATATATATATATATATATATATATATAATTTAGTACAAATATGATTTTTTTCACTTAGCAGGTTGATGTTATCTTCAGTTATCTCGACTCCAGATTTTCGTAGACGGACCCTCCAGAAATCACTCCGTTCACTCTTTTGGGGTATCAACAATTGACTGTTTTTTGTCGTTTGCACTATATATATATATATATATATATATATAAGCAAATATATGGATATACATCCGACAGTATGAAAGAAAAATAAAGAAAAAACAAACAAAAATCTGAATATGCAATTATGTAGTATTAATGTTAAAATGTTTTATAAGTTCTAATGTTAATTATGTTTAAATGAAAATGTCCATGAAGATGGTCTTAAATAGACCGAAACGTCCGACGTCGACTTTATTTTAACATTAATACTACATAATTGCATATTCAGATTTTTGTTTGTTTTTTCTGTATTTTTCTTTCATATATATATATATATATATATATATATATACTGTCTTGAATATTCGAGAAATCTTATTAAAGAAAAAATCCGGCAAGAGAGCGCATATATATATATATATATATATACTGTTTATTAAATAAAAAGAGCGTCTACTCAAATACGAGTATCCACTAAAGATAACGTTTATGCAATAAAATAAAAATATTTGTAAATGCTTATGTATATATATATATATATATATATATATATATTTAATATACAACAATAAATAAGCGTGTTATATATATATAAATTTTCATCAGCCGCCGACCAGGGGTGATCTCACGGTTTCGGTGGCTATATATATATATGATATCTGGCTACTTGTTTCGAGGATAAAGTTTACTAGGGAGGCTAAAATCCCTATATTTTGATAAATCAATCAGGCAAATTTTTGTGTTTGCTCAACACCTGAAAACCGCACCTGTGGTTTATACTACAACTATAACAAGCAGACCTTAGTTACAGTTTCTGGAAAAGGCGTGTTATCTAGTGTGATCAACAATTTGAATCAAGAAAAGCCTGCTCAAATGTCAGGCCACGATGACTTGTTTCTTCGTGGTAGCACAGCTATCGACGGTAATGTAAGGATTCCGTCTACCCAATTCACGCACAAGCCTTTGGGTCAACCAATTGGTATGGTTTTCAGGCACTTTCCAAAGGTGCCGCAAATTCGCTGAATGTCGACATCGATCCATACATACATCATCAGGAAGTCTCTCTCCTGACAAATCGACCATGGTGAGATTCTAAAAAGCGAACGTTCTAACCACTCGGCGACGATATATATATATATATATATATATATATATATATATATATATATATATATATATATATATATTTGTAGTACAACCCAGAGTTTCATAGCTAGCCAATTGTTCATGATGCATTGGGTGACCATGAGTTGACCACAAACATAGGTATATATGTATTTATTAATATATACTTTATAGCTCTTTTAACTACATTGAACCCTGTTTTGTTTACACCTTAAATTAAATAAATTTTTATTTGCTCATCTGTATATATACGTTATCACACGCACCAATATATATATATATATATATATATATATATATATATTTTTTTTACAGTTCTCTTTCCTAGTATGGACAAATTCCTCGTTCGGGTGGCGGCTCTACGAGATCGGATCTTCGGCAACCCGGTCTTTTGGCTAGAAAAACAATTCGAGGAGATCGTGAAGCTACGAAAGGAATGTAAAATGGTTTGTTATGATTTGTTATCTATCTATATCATTCTATTATAAATATTTCTGAGATAGGTTCGCTTATTGTACGGTTCACACTCCTCCCGGTCTATTGAACAGGAGTAGTGGTTTATTCTTTGTGTACTGTTTAGGATTGGCTTTCCTGTTCCTTCTAAAGTCTTTTTCATTATCTTTCACTCCCAGTAGCCTCCTTGCATCTTAGTCGCATTATCGCCTTACTTTGAGTGAATTGATTAAAAAAATACAATAAATCTATATAGTGTTAAAATAGTCATTACAATGTGATTATGTGATTGTTGTAAGCAAGATACACGGCATCATGTCCGAAAACGCCCACGCATTGCATGCGTATGGTGTCGCAGAGCAGTTGGAGGAAGGGAGAATTGGCGGAGTGCGCCTACGCATATGTAAAACTCTGAGGGCTTTGGCAGTTGGGGCTGAGGGAGCCGACGAGAGACGACTGCCCTATTCCAGCGGGTCCTTTTGGGTGTGACGGCTACATGTTATACGAATAAAAGAAGAGAACTCCCCATTTCATGCAGAGACACCATGAAAGAGTCTAATATGACCCTCAAAAACTTCAACAAATGCAATCAGATCATATGTTCTCCCCTGCTACTAAGTCCTGTGCAAGGGTCCCATGCACTTCCAAATCTGTGATACATGGACCCCACTCGGTATCATTTTCATCGGTTGCACTGGCACTGGTATTAATACTGTTCCCCACTTTTTAGTGCAATGAGGGGGGGGGGATCACAAACAGCCGTTTCCTGGGACTGGGAACCTCTCAATAAAATTTCATTTGCGCCCCTGTCTAAAGTCAGACACACAAACTGAGACATGAAATGTAATTTATCTGCCCAAAGGCCGATAAAGGTAACCCGGATATAAGAAACCCGGATATAAAGAGAGATTTTCTCTGGTCCCAAATTAGAGCCTGTGTTAATGTATATAAAATAGACCAAACCCGGATATAAAAAGACCCGGATATAAAAGATAAATTCTCCGGTCCTGACAACTCTCTTATATCCGGGAAAAATTGTTAAAACACTTTTGATGCCACCCAAAAGGCTGAGAAGCAACTGTATTTTTTTGCCACTGCACGGTGACAAGATGGGACACATGGTCAGTTTAATGGGGGCTCATCTATTACATCTCAATTTTCATAAGGTAATATTCATATAATATTCATATAATATTCATATAAAATACAAATTTTATTGTAACTTAATTATGTATGATAATGGATCATATGTAATATAGGTGGATAATCCAACTAGAAAAATCGAAAATAAATACAATGTATCCAAATACAAATTAGAGACATAGATCATTCCATCTTAAATAAATCAACAATGTTTTAACATCATCTTTAATTTTTTCTTGCTAAAAAGTTGAATAATTTTAACACATTCAACATTATGGATGAAAATAGTGAATTTTATATGGTGTTTTTTTTCGAAATTTAGCATGAGCAAAACAAATTCACGGATTTTGACGGAAAAATAAGACCCCAGAATAACGACAAAATCCGCTAAATTTTTCATCCTTTAATAGTTGTTTATTTTAATTTGTAACGTATGTAAATGTAGGAGGAAAACAAACAAATGTTTATAAAATAGCAACGGTCACAAAGCACTGCCCGGGGCCTCCAATCAGGCTTGACCCGCCCCGGTTGTAGTAGCCCTGTCTGCTACTTCAGGGGGTCCTCGACTTACGTCGGAGATCCGTTGCTACGGCGCGACGTAACCTGGTTTTCGACGTAGGTCGGAACTCACCTACATAAGCACCCACGAGTCTACCTTACGCTTGGGAGCCATAATGAAGGGTAAAAAGTTCCAAAAAACAACACGAACTAGAGATAGTGAGTGTAGAACGATCCAATATGGCATTAACCGGTGAAGAAACAACGGCGTCTTCCTCATATAGCGCTGCGTGACGACTTATTATATTATGAGAGATAACCACGACACGCCGTACGTCGGGTTCGACGTAACCCGAGGATCTTCTGTATAGTACATCTCATATGTTTTACCCTTTTCCTAAATAACTTTATTCATTTCGTATGTCAGTGGCCATTCTATTTTCTTAAATGATTTTAGCTCTTTCTCAAATAACGTGATTCTTTTCTCAAATGTTCTTACCTCTCGTCAGGGTCGTAGGGGCACCGCAAGTGTTGTTTCTTCGGCACGATAGTCTGACAAAGCCCAACCCTCTCCAGGCCAGTTTTGAATTCAAAGTTACCTTCTCCTAGACCGGTTGCCACCCAAGGCTATAGAACACAGTCTGTCCTGGGGAAGAAGAAGAAAAATCATACCTTTCACAAGGGTATTAGCACGTAAGTGAATCTAATGGACCCGACTAGAATTCGAACTTGGTTCTCTGATTCCTCAATCTGTGCCCCTTGAGAGAATATTGGGCCTCAAATTCACACCCGACCTCAAAAAAACAACGCTTGTGATGCCCCTACGACCCTGACGAGTCACGGCGTTCACGATCGCGCAATTCTCTCAAGGCACAGTGACCCCCCGAGGGGACACGCGTTCATCATGAGTGGCGGCAGTTAGGGGGTCTTTATTTGTTTCTAACGAAATTTTCCTATCTCTTAGTACATTGCTTAGTTTCTGGAAGGCATCTTTCGATATTCGTATGGTTTCTATACATACGATTCATCGCTAAAGATGCAGGTAACCGCTCCAGTAAGTACCTGACTCCTCAAGCTATCCTCTACGTTTATAAGAGCCGGATCAGTTCGAAAGTGGAGTACTGTTACCATATTTTGACGGGAGCTGCCCAGTCCTCACTTTCCAGTCTTGATAGAATTGAAAATGGTCTCCGCGTCTTTGTTGGAGAAGAATTATTTTCTCTCTCTCTCTCTCTCTCTCTGGGGTGAGTCTCTCACTGTTCTATCGCTACTACCATGGAAAGTGCTCAGACGAACTGCATCCCCTGATTCCACCAGGTCTGACCGGCACGGCTAGGAGCCACCATCCTACTTACATGGTAACAAACCACCCCCATTCCCTTCGTCTTCCATCGGTTACAAGTACGTTTCACTCAAACAGCTTCTTCCTGCTCTGTGGAACAGACTCCCAAGAGGATGTTTCCCTGATCACTACAATCTTAACCTGTTCAAGTCTAGAGTCAACCGTTATATTTCCCCTCCTATCTATATAAACTACTCATTGGTGAGAAGTAAGTCCCACTCGAACAGCTTCTTCCCGCTAACCACAGCCCTAGGGAACAGACACCCAAGAAGATGTTTCCCCATTCACCATAATCTTAACCTGTTCAGCTCTAGGGTTAACCGTTATCTTCCTCTCCTATCCATATAAACTACCCCTTAACGTAACCCTGTACCTCGAGTAACCCCCGGGCCTTGTACAGGGTGAACCTTACGATCAAAAAGTTCTCTATGGCAGTGAATGCTGGACAATCATCTCACAGATGAAGAAGAGACTTGAAGGAACAGAGAAGTGGTTCTACTGCCTAATGTTAATAACAACACGTGAGCAACAAGAAAGTCTCAATAGCTAAAAGACACTTATTCTTACAATAAAAAAGAGTCAATTGAAATTTCTAGTCCAAATAATGAGGAAGGAAGGCCTAGGGAATCTAATACTCACTGGACATAATGAAAGCAAGAGAAACAGGGTGTAACAGCGAGTCAATTACTTGACGTGTTTGTGTGAATAGATGACAGAACAAAGAGGGATAGTAAAGATTCCAAAGGAAGTTGTAGAGAGCCATGATCGCCCACGTCTTTGAAAGTAGGATATCTTGCTCAGTTTCTTCAGTTAGATATAAACAAACTTAAGCTAACCGTTCTTCAGTTTTTGGTGTTATCTTTTCTGTTTGAAAATGTGTCGAAAGGCATTTCGTTCTTTAAAAGACGGCCCTCAGCAACTTCCTATTTAAATACCCGAGCTCAATATATTAATTCCATTCCTATTTTCAGGGCGATCATCAAGATTTGCTAAATATGATGATTGAAGCAAACCAAAAGACATATAGTTCTGACGACATCATGACAGACTCGAAGACTTCAAGATCGAAATTCAAGTATCAGAAACTCACGGCATTGGTAAGTCTCTAGGTGTCTATTCTTATATGTATCATCCTTGTATGCTGATTTTCTAAGCATAGCTTAGATGTGGCACAAGACCTAAAGTATGGGGCTCCCAGTGAGGATCTAACTCACTACCCAGTCGTAATTTTTCTATCAAGACAATCTTGCTAACCACTACACCACATCGAGGTACCCCAGAGGTCCTTGTATGTATTAACGTATGCATAAGATGCAAAGAAGAATTTGCAATATTATTAGTCCTGATCTGGCAACTTGGCTTCAGTCACTTACCCACCACGTAAGATTTCCTCTCTCTGCTTTTTATATAAATTCTTTCATGATAATTGTTTGGATAAGCTCTTCGCTATGGTACCTAGACTTTATGAATTTAAGCGCAATACCACTTCAGTAAGTTTTATGCTAAAAGTTTCTTTTCTCGTTCTTTTCGCTTGTGAAACTCCCTTCTAGCTCCATGCTTTCCATCTACAAAAATTTAAATGCAATGTCAATCGCTATCTGCTGTCCTCCTGATTACTCTTTTCTCTTCCCGCTCATTATCAATGTTTCTGTTTCCTAATTCTTCCACATCCAGTAACCACTTGTGTTTTAGTGGCTTTACCGCCTTGCTTGTGGAACCCTCTTCCGGCTCCATGCTTTCCAGACAACTTTAATCTTCAAAAATTTAAATGCAATGTCAATCGTTATCTACTATCCCCCTGATTACTCTTTTCTCTTCCCGTTCATTATTAATGTTTCTGTTCCTAATTCTTCTACACCCTATAACCACTTGTGTCTTAGTGGCTTTACTGCCTTGCTTGTGGAACTACCTTTCGGCTCCATTCTTTTAAGCCAACTTTAATCTGCAAATATGTAAATGCAATGTCAATCACTGTCTACTGTCCTCCTGATTACTCTTTTCTCTTCCCGCTCATTATTAATGTTTCTGTTCCTAATTCTTCCACACCCTGTAACCCCTTGTGTCTTAGTGGCTTGCATGGGGTGATATCGATTAAAAAACAAAAACAAAAAAGAAAACATAAATCTCTGAATGATTCATTGCATAATCAAGGTTCTGCGTGTGTATATATATAATTCATGTCTTCACGTATACGAAAGTTACTGAATGTTTCTGAATTCTAGACGATAAATGACTTTTTGTATATTCAAGTTCTTCGCGTCAACTCTTGTATAGTCCAGTTACTAGCTGTCTCCTGAATATACCCAAGTCTCCAGATATTTCTACACATACTCAAGTCTCTGTGTGTCTATTTTTATCTGTGTGTGTATTCTCGTATACAAGACTCCATGCCTGGTGTCTTTGCATCTAGTCATGTCTGCGAGTGCTTTCTTGTGTATTCGTGTTTCTATGAATCTTCACAAATACTCAAGTTTCTGAGTGTCTTGTATATACAAAACTTCGGATTTCTTTACATATACAAACCCTTCCCGGATATTTAGGTCCGCGATGCACCTGACATATATTCTATTGTCTGGTCGCTTGAAATAAGTTCAATTCTATGAATCTCTTCACGTATAAATAGTTCTCTAAATCTCTCATCGCATATTCAATTCTCCGTGTATCTTCTCGGATATTCAAGTCCCCAAAGCGCCTCACATATATTGGATTGTCCGGTCTCTTCAAATAAGCTCAATTCTATGAATCTCTTCACGTATAAACAGTTCTCCAAATCTCTCATCGCATATTCAATACTTCGTGTGCCTTCTCGGATATTCAAGTATTCAAAGCGCCTCACATATATGCGATTGTCCGGTCTCTTCAAATAAGCTCAATTCTATGAATCTCTTCTCATATAAACAGTTCTCTAAATCTCTCATCGCATATTCAATTCTCCGTGTGTCTTCTCGGATATTCAAGTTCCCGAGGCGTCTCACATATATTCAATTGTCCGGTCTCTTCAAATAAGCTCAATTCTATGAATCTCTTCACGTATAAGCAGTTCTCCAAATCTCTCATCGCATATTCAATTCTCCTTGTGTCTTCTCGGATATTCAAGTTCCCAAAGCGCCTCACATATATTCGATTGTCCGGTCTCCTCAAATAAGCTCAATTCTATGAATCTCTTCACGTATAAGCAGTTCTCCAAATCTCTCATCGCATATTCAATACTTCGTGTGCCTTCTCGGATATTCAAGTATTCAAAGCGCCTCACATATATTCGATTGTCCGGTCTCTTCAAATAAGCTCAATTCTATGAATCTCTTCACGTATAAACGGTTCCCTAAATCTCTCATCGCATATTCAATTCTCCGTGTGTCTTCTCGGATATTCAAGTCCCCAAGGCGCCTCACATATATTCGATTGCCGGTCTCTTCAAATAAGCTCAATTCTATGAATCTCTTCACGTATAAACAGTTCTCCAAATCTCTCATCGCATATTCAATACTTCGTGTGCCTTCTCGGATATTCAAGTATTCAAAGCGCCTCACATATATTCGATTGTCCGGGCTCTTCAAATCAGCTCAATTCTCTTCACGTATAAACAGTTCTCTAAATCTCTCATCGCATATTCAATTCTCCTTGTGTCTTCTCGGATATTCAAGTTCCCAAAGCGCCTCACATATATTCGATTGTCCGGTCTCTTCAAATAAGCTCAATTCTATGAATCTCTTCACGTATAAACAGTTCTCCAAATCTCTCATCGCATATTCAATACTTCGTGTGCCTTCTCGGATATTCAAGTATTCAAAGCGCCTCACGTATATTCGATTGTCCGGTCTCTTCTAATCAGCTCAATTCTATGAATCTCTTCACGTATAAACAGTTCTCTAAATCTCTCATCGCATATTCAATTCTCCGGGTGTCTTCTCGGATATTCAAGTTCCCGAGGCGCCTCACATACATTCGATTGTCCGGACTCTTCAAATAAGCTCAATTCAATGAATCTCTTCACGTATAAACAGTTCCCTAAATCTCTCATCGCATATTCAATTCTCCATGTGTCTTCTCGGATATTCAAGTCCCCAAGGCGCCTCACATATATTCGATTGTCCGGTCTCTTCAAATAAGCTCAATTCTATGAATCTCTTCACGTATAAGCAGTTCTCCAAATCTCTCATCGCATATTCAATTCTCCTTGTGTCTTCTCGGATATTCAAGTTCCCAAAGCGCCTCACATATATTCGATTGTCCGGTCTCTTCAAATAAGCTCAATTCTATGAATCTCTTCACGTATAAGCAGTTCTCCAAATCTCTCATCGCATATTCAATACTTCGTGTGCCTTCTCGGATATTCAAGTATTCAAAGCGCCTCACATATATTCGATTGTCCGGTCTCTTTAAATAAGCTCAATTCTATGAATCTCTTCTCATATAAACAGTTCTCCAAATCTCTCATCGCATATTCAATACTTCGTGTGCCTTCTCGGATATTCAAGTATTCAAAGCGCCTCACATATATTCGATTGTCCGGGCTCTTCAAATCAGCTCAATTCTATGAATCTCTTCACGTATAAACAGTTCTCTAAATCTCTCATCGCATATTCAATTCTCCTTGTGTCTTCTCGGATATTCAAGTTCCCAAAGCGCCTCACATATATTCGATTGTCCGGTCTCTTCAAATAAGCTCAATTCTATGAATCTCTTCACGTATAAGCAGTTCTCCAAATCTCTCATCGCATATTCAATACTTCGTGTGCCTTCTCGGATATTCAAGTATTCAAAGCGCCTCACATATATTCGATTGTCCGGTCTCTTCAAATATGCTCAATTCTATGAATGTCTTCACGTATAAACAGTTCTCTAAATCTCTCATCGCATATTCAATTCTCCGTGTGTCTTCTCGGATATTCGATTTCCGTCGGAGCTTCGCATATACTCAATTCTCCGATTCTCTTCACATTTACACAAATCTCTGCCTTTTTTTTTTCGTATATTTAATTATCTGGCTGTTTTTTGAATAATCAAATCCACAAGTAGCTTCACATATACTCGATTCCACGTGTTTCTTCACATAAATTCAATTCTCCAGATTTTTTCCCATATATTCACTTTTCTCTCTTCTCTTACATTCAGTTCTCCTGGTGTCGTCTAGGATATTCCAATTCCCGGGTAGCTTCACCCGCGATTACACAGGCCCTTCAATTATGCTCAATTCACTGGGTCTCTCCACAAAAATGTCCGGATTACTAAGTGTATACTCAAGACACCGTGCATGTACACGTAAGTCGTGTATCTTCGGATATTGTCATGTCTACGGGTGATTTCTCGTAAATTCATATTCCCGAGCATTTTCACAAATACTCAAGTTTCCGGGTATCGTCATGCATATTCAAGTCTCCGGATCTTTTCACATATACACTAGTCGCTGACTATCTTCATATACTCAGTTATTTGGATATCTTCTCATATATTGAAGTCCAAGTGTAGCTTCACATATAATAAAATCTATGAATCTCTTCCCATATATCAAATCCTCCGAATCTCTTCACCTATACTAAATTCCCCGAGTCTTTTCACATACATTAAACCGCCTGGATACTCAATTCTTCGGGTTTTATTTCATCTTTTTAATGCAGGTTTTCATCTCAACATACTGGTTCGATATACGTTTCATTTTAGCTATTGTTTTATTACTAGTTTTATTCCATCTTATTATTGTTGCTTTTTATCCCAACCTCCTGGCTCTATACAATCTTCATTATTACTATTATTTTATTACTAGTTTTATTCCATCTTATTATTGTTGCTTTTTTTATCCCAACCCTCTGGCTCTATACAATCTTCATTATTACTATTATTTTATTACTAGTTTTTTATCCCAACCCTCTGGCTCTATACAATCTTCATTATTACTATTATTTTATTAATAGTTTTATTCCATCTTATTATTGTTGCTTTTTATCCCAACTCTCTGGCTCTATACAATCTTCATTATTACTATTATTTTATTACTAGTTTTATTCCATCTTATTATTGTTGCTTTTTTTATCCCAACCCTCTGGCTCTATACAATCTTCATTATTACTATTATTTTATTACTAGTTTTTTATCCCAACCCTCTGGCTCTATACAATCTTCATTATTACTATTATTTTATTACTAGTTTTATTCCATCTTATTATTGTTGCTTTTTTTATCCCAACCCTCTGGCTCTATACAATCTTCATTATTACTATTATTTTATTACTAGTTTTATTCCATCTTATTATTGTTGCTTTTTTTATCCCAACCCTCTGGCTCTATACACTCTTCATTATTACTATTATTTTATTACTAGTTTATCCCAACACTCTGGGTCAATATCCATCTTATTATTGTTTTGTTTTCTCACCAATTTCTGGTTTGATAAATTCTTTAATATTTTATTATGAGTTTTAATTTGTATTATTATCATTATTTTGTATTATTGCTGTTTTTTTATATTTATCATCGTCCTTCGTGTCGATCCACGCTTCGGTGTAAGTATTTCACTTTGATGTTTTACAGGAGTTACGCTCACAATGTTTCCTCTTTCTCATGGCTGGTTACGAGACAACAGCCACAACACTTATCTATTTGATCTATGAACTGGCTTGTAACCAGGACATCCAGACACGTCTTTACGAAGAAATTATTCAACATTTTCCGAATGAAGTAAGTACGTCTTATGAGAAATGATTAGTTTTTCTTTTTAGTGGGTATAAAAATTGTTAAAATGCAGCCAATGTTTATTTAATCAAGTATATATTCATCATTAGGGCCCTTGTCGCCTTAAAATGAATTCATTTCGTTAGATGGACATCGTCAACCTGGGAAGTATGTCAAACCGTCTTCAGTGCCATATGTTTTCACTTTGTAGGCTGCTATTTCTTTCTGCGATAAATTTGTTGCTACCCAAAGCTATAGCACCCATTCTCTCTTGGTATTCAGCCCATAAGTGGGGAAAAAAGAGATGGATTCATACCTTTCCCAAGGGTATTTGTGCATAAGAGAATGTAACGAACCCAACCAGAATTCGAACTCTGCTTTCCGATTTCTACTCTCGAACAATGATCCATTATACCACATCATATATCAAATCAACCTAGAAAAAGAAAAACTTCTGACAGCATTTCAAGTTCAATTTGGGACTAATCAAAGTCATTTTGGAACTAAGGAAATTTAAAATGAAATAGCCAAGTTCAGAATGGGGCGTAGCAAATTCAAGATGAAATAGCCATGTTCAGAATGAGACGTAGCAAATTCAAGATGAAATAGCCAAGTTCAGAATAGGACGTAGCAAATTCAAAATGAAATAGCCAAGTTCAGAATGGGACGTAGCAAATTCAAGATGAAATAGCCAAGTTCAGAATGGGACGTAGCAAATTCAAGATGAAATAGCCAAGTTCAGAATGGGACGTAGCAAATTCAAGATGAAATAGCCAAGTTCAGAATGGGACGTAGCAAATTCAAGATGAAATAGCCAAGTTCAGACTGGGACGTAGCAAAGTCAAGATGAAATAGGCAAGTTCAGAATGGGACGTAGCAAATTCAAAATGAAATAGCCAAGTTCAGAATAGGACGTAGCAAATTCAAGATGAAATAGGCAAGTTCAGAATGGGACGTAGCAAATGCAAAATGAAATAGGCAAGTTCAGAATGGGACGTAGCAAATTCAAAATGAAATAGCCAAGTTCAGAATGGGACGTAGCAAATTCAAAATGAAATAGCCAAGTTCAGAATGGGACGTAGCAAATTCAAGATGAAATAGCCAAGTTCAGAATGGGACGTAGCAAATTCAAAATGAAATAGCCAAGTTCAGAATAGGACGTAGCAAATTCAAATGAAATAGCCAAGTTCAGACTGGGACGTAGCAAATTCAAGATGAAATAGCCAAGTTCAGAATGGGACATTCAAAATGCAAATTCAAAATGAAATAGCCAAGTTCAGAATGGGACGTAGCAAATTCAAAATGAAATAGCCAAGTTCAGAATGGGACGTAGCAAATTCAAAATGAAATAGTTCAAATTCAGAAAATGGGACGTAGCAAATTCAAGATGAAATAAGCCAAGTTCAGAATGGGACGTAGCAAATTCAAGATGAAATAGCCAAGTTCAGAATGGGACGTAGCAAATTCAAGATGAAATAGCCAAGTTCAGAATGGGACGTAGCAAATTCAGGATGAAATAGCCATGTTCAGAATGGGGCGTAGCAAACTCAAGATGAAATAGCCATGTTCAGAATGGGGCGTAGCAAATTCAAGATGAAATAGCCAAGTTCAGAATGGGACGTAGCAAATTCAAGATGAAATAGCCAAGTTCAGAATGGGACGTAGCAAATTCAAGATGAAATAGCCAAGTTCAGAATGGGACGTAGCAAATTCAAGATGAAATAGCCAAGTTCAGCATGTGACGTAGCAAATTCAAAATGAAATAGCCAAGTTCAGCATGTGACGTAGCAAATTCAAAATGAAATATCCAAGTTCAGCATGTGACGTAGCAAATTCAAAATGAAATATCCAAGTTCAGCATGTGACGTAGCAAATTCAAAATGAAATATCCAAGTTCAGAATGGGACGTAGCAAATTCAAAATGAAATAACCAAGTTCAGAATGGGACGTAGCAAATTCAAGATGAAATAGCCAAGTTCAGAATGAGACGTAGCAAATTCAAAATGAAATAAGCTAGTTTGAATTGCTAGTACGCAGATTTATTATGGAAAAATGTCTCCAACTGATCTGCTCCTTTCAATAAACAAATATCATCGATTAAAAAATCAAGTGGGCGATAAATCAGATAATTAAATATCGGAGCGCAGCGTTGCGTAGATTTTACTATAAATTTCTTACAAGAGGCTCTTCTTGAACCGATAAATTTGTCAAAGTTAGACTTTCTGGTACGTTCATTGGTAAGACAATCAGGGAGAATAGAAGAAAAAGAAAGAGACAGGTAAACTGTATATAGTGTTAAAAAAGATAGAAAAGTTGTACAAAATGAAATGATTTGGGGGACAACAGGGCAAAAAGTCCTAAGAAAAAGCAACAAGGAAATACTGAATTCATATATCAAGACAGAGTTTGAAAAAAGATAGGTATAATGAGAGATTTTAAGCGCCGAAAATTGCATCCAAAAAACACATCTTTTATGAATTTTCTTGATTTATTGATGGCTCCTAGAAGATAAAACATTTCAATAGTAAAGTTTACTTGAACATTATTAATTTATCATAAAAATATTTAATTTTAAAGTCTTTTTTAGCAAAATAATTGCTCATTCCCAAATTGTGAACTTGCTAAGTCCCTGATCAAATTTGTTTATTCCATTTTGAATTTGACTATTTCATTTTGAATCTGCTTAGTTCCATTTTGAATTTGACTATTCGATTTAGAATTTGCTACATCCCATTTTGAATTTGACTATCCCATTTTGAATTTGACTATTTCTTTTTGAACTTGACTATTTCATTATGAAATTGCTTCGTCCCAAAATGACTTTGATTAGACTCAAATTGAACTTGAAATGGTATAGATTCAATAATGGAAAAGGATATGAAAGTAAATTCGGACAGAAATTTTCGGGATAAATTCCTGAAGTGAAAGCAAACATCTTTCCCGTAATCTTCCAACTAAATCCATATATATATATATATATATATATATATATATATATATATATATATATATATATAATATGATGAAGAGCATAACGTTAAAACCGGAGTCGTGTCAACGATCATTTTTCTATCTTTTATATTGCTACACTTTTTTAAAATATCTGTCCTCTGGTCTGACCAAATAATTTTATATTCTTATATATATATATATATATATATATATATATATATATATATATATATATATATATATATATTGATTGTATCATTCCTAAACTTAATAAAATAACATCTTTATATTTGCCTTGATAAAATTCCACAGAACAAAAAATTTCGCCCTTTTTTTCCTTTTGTCGTTATTCATATCTATCTCTATCTCTCCTATATATATATATATATATATATATATATATATATATATATATATATATATAGTGCTCGATAGAACGTAGAGCATAATATTTTAATTTTTTTTTTTTTAAATATTTTACATCGCAGCCCGGAAATTTCTGTTTCAGAACTTTGAATTTGTTCCATTATCATGCAATGGAGTAACTTTTGATGAAAATGATTTACTTTTGAAAACAGAATGGTATTATATTGAAGATTTAAGAAGGAGTGGGGAAAGAAGATTTCAAAATTTTATGGGTATTTCCCGTTTGACCAATCAAAGGACAGGTCAAAGCTAACCTTTCACTTTTCTGCTTTAGTTTTGACCTGTCTTTTGATTGGTGAAATAGGACATACCCATAAAATTTTGAAATCTTGTTTCCCTCCTATATATATTGATAGCATGTCTTCATTCAAACATGTTTCATTGTATAATGTAGACATTTAGCGTCAACCAACCAATACTCAACAAAATTTATATGGAATATAGCAACAACATATTAAAATGCATATAACATTTAATGCCATTTTACGTTTCTACCAATTTACTGTCAGCTTCCTTATACTGAAACGCAAAAAAAACTATCACATTAGAATGCAAATTTTATCGCAGTTGCAATGAGTTTGTCTTTGTAATTTAATACTGAAGATTTTCTTTGAAAAGATCGAACGTGCCTTCCTTGATGAATGCCAAACTGATTAGACGACTAGAAAGGACCAGTCTATATTTCTGATATGAGGTATTATGCACACTATTTACATTATTCGGACTATTGTCCTCATCTTTGTCGCTATATTTATTACAACGTTTCGGCCGTTGTACGCTCCGGCCTTCTTCAAGTGGTGGGAATGTCGATCTGAACCCTTTATTTTCTTCGCTGGGGTAGACTGTTCTAGTTCCATGTGTCATGTCTAATGGATGTCAGTTATCAGTTATCTCCTGTTAATTCCCCTCTCCAAGTTATCCACTGTCTTAACTGGGTATTGAACTCACAACTCTTTGGGTCCTGTCACTGGATCTAACCAACGTCTTTATCCACTGTGCCATGTGTCCTTACAGTGAATTAACACATGAGGACAATAGTCCGAATAATGTAAATAATGGAAAAAATCAGTATAAAAATAAGTAGACACAATATGTTTATATTATTGAATGAAACGTGTGTGTGTTCGCTCGCATGCGTGCGTGCGTGCGTTTATAAGTGTGTAGATAGATAGATAGATAGATAGATCGGAATAGGAAGAAATAGATAGATAGATAGATAGATAGATCGGAATAGATATTTAGATATGATAGATAGATAGATAGATCGGAATAGGAAGAAATAGATAGATAGATAGATAGATAGATAGATAGATAGATCGGAATAGGAAGAAATAGATAGATAGATAGATCGGAATAGGAAGAAATAGATAGATAGATAGATCGGAATAGGAAGAAATAGATAGATAGATCGGAATAGGAAGAAATAGATAGATATAGATGGATCGGAATAGGATAGAAATAGATAGATAGATAGATAATAGGAAGAAATAGATAGATATTCTACGAAATAGGAAGAAATAGATAGATAGATAGATAGATCGGAATAGGAAGAAATAGATAGATAGATCGGAATAGGAAGAAATAGATAGATAGATAGATAGATAGATCGGAATAGGAAGAAATAGATAGATAGATAGATAGATAGATGAATAGGAAGAAATAGATAGATAGATAGATAGATCGGAATAGGAAGAAATAGATAGATAGATAAATAAGAAAAAATGATAGATAGATAGATAGATAGATAATAGTAAGAAATAGATAGATAGATCGGAATAGGAAGAAATAGATAGATAGATAGATAGATCGGAATAGGAAGAAATAGATAGATAGATCGGAATAGGAAGAAATAGATAGATAGATAGATAGATAGATAGATCGGAATAGGAAGAAATAGATAGATAGATAGATAGATAGATCGGAATAGGAAGAAATAGATAGATAGATAGATAGATCGGAATAGGAAGAAATAGATAGATAGATAGATAGATAGATAGATCGGAATAGGAAGAAATAGATAGATAGATCGGAATAGGAAGAAATAGATAGATAGATAGATAGATAGAACATAGAATAAATAGATAGATAGATAGATAGATAATAGATAAATAGATAGATAGATAGATAGATAAATAATAGGAAGAAATAGATAGATAGATAGATAGGAAGAAATAGATAGATAGATAGGAAATAGAAGAAATAGATAGATAGATAGATAGATAGATAGAGATAGATAGATAGATAGATAAGATAATAGGAAGAAATAGATAGATAGATAGATAGATAGATAGATAGATAGATAGATAGATATATAGAATAGATTCGGATAGATAGATAGATAGATAGATAGATAGATAGATAATAGGAAGAAATAGATAGATAGATAGATAGATAGAAATAGATAGATAGATAGATAGATAGATAGATAGATAGATAGATAGATAATAGATAGATAGATAATAGATAGATAGATCGGAATAGGAAGATATAGATAGATAGATAGATAGATAGATAGATAGATAGATAGAGAGAAATAGATTGATAATAGGAATAGAAAGAAATAGATAGATAGATAGATAGATAGATAGATAGGATAAATAGATAGATAGATAGAATAGATAGATAGATAGATAGATAGATAATAGATCGGAAATAGAAGAAATAGATAGATATATAGATAGATAAATAGGATAAAATAGATAGATAGATAGATAGATAGAATAGATATAATGAAATAGATAGATAGATAAAAGATAGATAGATAGATAGGAATAGGAAAAATAGATAGATAGATAGATAGATAGAATATAGGAAGAAATAGATAGATAGATAGATAGATAGATCGGAATAGGAAGAAATAGATAGATAGATAGATAGATAGATCGGATAGGAAGAAATAGATAGATAGATTTCGGAATAGGAAGAAATAGATAGATAGATAATCGATAGGAAGAAATGATAGATAGATAGATAGATAGATAGATAGAATAGGAAGAAATAGATAGATATAGATCGAATGAAATAGATAGATAGATAGATAGATAGAATAGAAAAAATAGATAGATAGATCGAATAGATAGAAATAGATAGATAATGATAGATAGATAGATCGGAATAGGAAGAAATAGATAGATAGATAGATAGATAGATCGGAATAGGAAGAAATAGATAGATAGATAGATAGATATAGATAGAATAGAAGAAATAGATAGATAATAGATCGGAATTAGGAAAAATAGATAGATAGATAGATAGATAATCGGAATAGGAATAAATAGATAGATAGATAGATAATCGAATAGGAAGAAATAGATAGATAGATAATAGATAGAATATAATAGATAGATAGATAGATAGATCGGAATAGGAAGAATAGATAGATAGATAGATAGATAGATAATATTAGATAGGATAGATAAGATCGATTAAAGATAATAGATAGATAGATAGATAGATAGATAGATCGGAATAGGAAGAAATAGATAGATAGATCGGAATAGGAAGAAATAGATAGATAGATAGATAGAATACCAAAAAAAAATAAAGGAATAGAAATAGATAGATAGATAGATCGGGAATAGATAGATAGATAGATCAGATAGATAGATAGATAGATAGATCGGAATAGGAAGAAATAGATACATAGATAGATGGGAATAGGAAGAAATAGATAGATAGATAGATAGATAGATAGATAGATAGATGGGAATAGGAAGAAATAAATAGATAGATAGATAGATAGATGGAAATAGGAAGAGATAGATAGATAGATAGATAGATAGATAGATAGATAGATAGAGTCAAGTGAAGGTGTTTCAGAAACCATAAACGGTTTTTCGTACAGTTGATTGAAGCAAAACCTTTCTATTTCTACTTTTTCGATTTTATTCTGTTTCAGGAAGATGAAATTACCTTTGATGATCTCACTAAATTGGATTATCTTGATAAAGTATGGTGTGAAACCCTTCGCAAGTACCCACTCGCAAGCACGTAAGTAATGCGTTTTTATCTATCTATCTATCTATATCTATATATATATATATATATATATATATATATATATATAGAGAGAGAAAAAATAATATAAATTATAATTTTCGTCATTTAGCTTTGATTTTACCTTCAGCATCCCGACTCAACTTTCCTAGACGGAACTTATGAAATTCCACCATCCTATATATATATATATATATATATATATATATAGTAATTTCTAAAAATCAATGTTTTTTATATTATTTTATACAAATTACTTTGCTACATATATATATATATATATATATATATATATATATATATATATATATATATATATTATCGTACATTGAATGCTGGTGTTAATAAAATTGTGTTTGCTATGCAAAATAACATAGCTATAAATTATATATTAATCATAAATAGATTTTTTATATAGTTTTTTATATATATATATATATATATATATATATATATATATATATATATATATATATATATATATATATATATATATATATACATCTATATTAGTACTAGTAATCTTATAAGTATAAGAAATTATACTCGTTCGGAAAACCTTCAGTGTTTTGATTTGCAAATAATCTAACCAATTCCAAATGGAAAAAAAAGTTATAAAAAAAAGAAAGAACCAAGATCATGTACGTTAGCCGAAAATAATCACCTAGCATGCAAGTCCAAAGCCCAAAGAAAAAAAAACCGATACGAATAAGCAAAATAACTAATAAAAGTGCTCGATACAGTAAGTAGAACAGACCTAGTTAAACATAGAAAGCCAGACAAACCTACCAAGGTTTCACCTAAGCGGATATATATCTGTTTCCTTTTGAATTAGTAGTTCTGATGAATTGGATCGTGATTCCAATTCAATGTAATAAATTATGACCATGGAATATTAGCGTTTGAGCCGTATATATATATATATATATATATATATATATATATATATATATATAATATGAAAATAGCGTTTCTCTACATTCCAGTTACTAGGTACAATCTGTTTTTGTTTTTTTATTAGTTACTTTGTTCAATTAATTTCATTTTCGTATTTTGCTTCAGCAATTACCAGTTTTCCTATTGTCATTTTTTCATTCATATATATATATATATATATATATATATATATATATATATATAAAATATTTGTACCCACAGAACCTCAGAATAGATTTAAATAACAGGGACGCCATTTCATTAATCAAACCTTATTTTTTTTTTTTTTTTATAGACATACATCACCTGAGATATCTTTCGGCCAACACTTATTCATAGGTAATGCGTTGGCACATTATTTATTAGTATAATGAGGACACATATATTGAAATATTTACTAAAATTGAAGGAGAGCCGAGCTCGTTTAAAATTAAATTTATTGAAAATATAATTAAAACGTAAGGGGGGTGTAAAGAGTTAATAAAACGGAAAATATTTTTAACCCACAATGCTTCCAAGAGTTTTAATGATCTTGTGAAATGATCTTTCTGCCTGCATAAATTTGGACGATGTAATTTTAAATATACAGCTTCCAAAACACGTAAATGAAATTCGGTTTGGACGCTGTGCAGGACAGAGAACCAAGTGTCATGATAAGCAGAGACACAGTCCGGGTTGTCCATCAGATGTTGGCCAATAGCCGACTCCCGGACCGACTGAGAAACTCTATTCCTGTGTTCGTGATTACGTAGATGTGAGGGAACATGCTGAACATGCTGAGAAACACGCGTTTCCAAACGAAGACTAGTCCGTCCTATATATACCGAATCACATCGACATTTAAATTGATAAATCACTGAATTTTTACATAAATAGGACAGTCTATCCTTCATAAAGGAGGGGAACACCTTTCTGGTCTTAAAAATGGTACGCAATTTCACAGCAAAGTAACACGAAGAAGTGCAAGGCGAAACCTTATCAGCGATAAGCTGTCCCTGCCTGCCAAGCCAGGGTAACTTTAAATAAATAGGACAACGACTAGGTCCTAAAACAGCTGGTTCCTTGCCATATATATGTATTCATTATATATATATATTTATATGTAACCTTGGAAACATGAATTGTGTTTTAGCTGTGTATTTAAAACCCAGTAATTTTAAAAGTTACTCCAAAATTCGCTTGAGGATGAAATGGAACTAATGTCTTTAATTTAATTACAAAATTAAATTCGGAGCTTTTAGCTTCCATTTTTGAAACATGGTTAGAACTGTGTAGCGAAAAAAAAACATATTTTAAATCAATTAATTTATAATATTAATGCTCTGTAAATTTACATTGAGCACTATTTTGTAAAAATAAAAATATCTATAAGAACACCGGATTATATATCTTACTGTTCTTTCTTTATATATATATATATATATATATATATATATATATATATAATATTTAAGAATCATAAAAATCCATTAGGTCAGGTAATAATTTATTTCGTGGACGTTCATCTCTCAGACGAATTTTAAAAAAATAAATGGAGTTCAATTCATTTCAGACACAAGGAAAAGACAAAAAGAAAGAAAGGGAGAGAAAAAAATCCAAAAGATATATATATATATATATATATATATATATATATATATATATATATATTATATAATAAATTACAATAAAACATTTTACATCGCCACACAAAACTTTCATGTTTCAGTACTAAGATGGTACTTCTTCAGGCGCTGGTAGATAACTTGTGATAAAAATGATTTATTAGGGAGATTTAAAAAACAATCATTGACCCAGCACAAAAGGAATAATGACGCCATGCATTTATCAGCGTTCAACTGCTTTTTGTTGGCTTCTGCCAGATCATCGACTATTTCAAAACTTACATTCTTATCTCTCGAGTTAAACACTTCAGAATAATTCATGTGACCTTGATGTTTTTTTAATGAAACCATTTGTACATGTGCATGTTTGCTGTGCAATCAGAATCGATCTCATTGAGATATGAATCCACATATATCGAGAAGCCTTCGGGTTAAAGGACAAAATTGATATTCGAAAACTTGGGAGAAACATTGTATATGAGCACGCCAAATACTGAATTCACCAGTGTCCAAGAATCTACTAGATTGAAAAAAAGGAAGATATACAGAGAAAAGTAGCGTCTCCAGACTTCCATACCTAAAGAAATGATAACGTTACTGTATCGTATATATGCTGTGAAAATTGGCATATGTATTGATGTATACATATCATAATTTATTACAGCTGAAAATACAAAAAGTGCACAAGAAGTTTGTGTTGCGCCAATCTTCCAGATTGCTGATTTGCTTGCATCTGAAATTGCGCTTTATAATGGAACCTAAATACGCACTGCTTATACTGATGAGAAATGTTTAATTATGAAGGTAGATCAATTAGTGACATAGTTGTAAGATGAATTTTGATGTGAAATTATCACTGTATGACTCAATTTATATGATAATATTCATGAATAAATTATGTGCATTAAAAAGGATTATTATGTTGAAGAATAAATATTTCTTGTGTAAAATAAATATTTTTCCTCATTATAGAATACTAAAGATATATCGAGTATACTGAGAAAAAGGCTTATTAGGTACATATAACGGTTATCATTCGCTGCTTAAAATGACTAGACAATTTCAATGTACCTATTTTGAATATGATCACTCCCCACGCCGATTTTTTAACTTGTCAAGTCCCGGAAAAAAAAGTATCTTCTGGGTCACCCTGTCGACTGGATTTCCTTTCTTTCCCTCTTTCACTCTCTTTCCCTTTCCCCTCCACACGTCTATCTCTCTTTCTCTTCCCCCTAAAAAACCTTATATTAAAATTTCTGTCTTTCTCCTCCTCCTTTTCTTTCCCCTTTTAATATTAAAATATTTTCCATATATATATCTACATACATACATACATACATACATATATATATATATATATATATATATATATATATATATACTCTCCTCTCGAATACGACGTATGAGGGTCAAGCAGATCAGTTCCTAGGAAACCGACAGCCCGACAACAGCACATGAGATTTGATTATAGTGGTGAAGGTTTCATGCAGGACCATTCACACTTTTGATATATATATATATATATATATATATTCCTCCACCGGTAGCATGACTCAGAGTTTCATGCACAACGCAATCTTCAGGTGATGAGTATAGAATGACAGTTAAGTAATTTAAATTTTAATAAAAGTATCTGGTTGCCGCAGTGTTGGCACAGTCAAATATACAAAATTACAGTTTATTTTTTTGTATATATATATTTGGCATCTAAACTAGACGGGATTTATACAAACACACACACACACACACACACACATATATATATATATATATATATATATATATATATATATATATTGTGGGGGTGTATTTTAGCAGAATGTTTTCATTGAGGCAAGTTTCAATGAATAATTTAGACAAGTTATATCTGCTTATTTTCGAGAGGATCCGTTCGTATTCTCGGATGGGCTTTTTGATATCGGTATTAAAAATGAGAGAAAATTACCGTGTTGATACATATTGTTTTATTCCGAGTACCTTCGGCATTAACACAATGTCATCCTCTTAATCAAAAAGGACTCTTCACACATCATAATTCGTTACCTCCCTTAGAGTGTAAACATACACAGAATGGCACAGAAATTAGCGGTCTTCACTCCACACTTAAATTTATAACTTTCAGATGAACATGTCAATTTTGTCTTTGGAAATAATGAACACTACATTTTGTCTTAAACTATACACCCTGAGGATGACATTGTGTTAACGTCTCTGAATAAAACAACAATACGGTAATCTGAAACCAAAAAACATGCGAAATATGAACAATATCCATTGATTAAAGTACAAA